AGAAAGAAAGAAAGAAAGAAAGAAAGAAAGAAAGAAAGAAAGAAAGAAAGAAAGAGGTGTTTTCCATATTGACAGAGATTTATATGTACCAGTACAAGAAAATGCTTTAATGGGAACAATTAGAGAGTGAAAGAAGATGCATCAGCATAACCCTCACATACATGTCCATACTTCACATATTTTAGGCCTTTTTCAATTGAAGTCTTGTTTGCTTACTGCCGCTTTTATGGCGATGACGCTGCTGTGTGGGTATTCTTCACATTTAAAGATGAACTGTAATCAAAGCCTTGGGTTTCTTTGTAGTTTTAAGTTAAATATGTCATAGTTTCAGATAATTCCCACCTTTATTAGCATCAAAAAGTTTCTGTCCATTATTAAGCTGAAATAAAGTATCATGAATATGAACATAGAGGAGCCAGGACCACACATAAGCAATGATTAAACCAGCAGTAGTTTAACGCAAGGCAGCAACACCGTGTTGTTTTATCTCATGCCCTCTAATTTGCTTGATGTGCTGTGTGATTTCAAGGAGGCTCACAATAACACACACTTACCTAATGGCATGGATGGCTCAGAACAAGGTGATTCAGAAAATAAAAATAAATGTCAAGCTCACACATATTTACATACATGTTTGTAGAGTGTTTTTCTCCATAGAAATTCCTAAGCTGTCAGTTTGTGATTCGCATGTTTCCCATATACCTCTGTCATTTTGTTTCAGTATCTGTCATGTGGTCAGCAGCTTACTTTGTGGTCAAAGCTCACTATCAGAAACTTCAGGGGCTGGTTGGGAAGAGACTGCAGTCATATTGGTGAGGTTTTTCCATTCTGACTATGCTACAACGTCAACTTACCTGAACCTGCCAAACTATGAAAATTATACGTTTTTAATGCAGCACAAAAGAAAAACAAGTTGACAGTGCCTTTAGATCAAGTTGCTTTGAAGAGGAGAGAAAACTGTTCTATAAAACTGTGTGTGGAGCCCCAAATGATTGGAAAAGTACTTTACAGTCACAGTACATTGGAAATTATTTTTTTTCTTTAATCATCACAGAGGATAGCAGTCACATGTAGGGCACATGCTTGCAAAAGGAGTTATTATAATTTTACTCGATTTGTGCATTTGTTTTTAACAAACCTAAAAGCACTTTTAGAAACATTAGCGGTACAACAGGCTTACAGTAATTGTTTATTGTTATGGGAATAATCCCATCCAAATACAAGTAACCCCAACCCAGATGGCAGACATCTTTAGAAATGAATTTTACTGCTTTTGTAAAACAACTTCCAAATTAAATTGGTTGTGGGCAGTATTGAAAATGACCTGCTGCATCTCAATGCACATGGATCAAAGCTCACGTAAAAACATGTTTGCTGTGGCATGAGTTTATCTCTGTATATGGAGAGATGCTTTCCTCTACTCTCTGTACATATTAGGTGATTTGTGTTGCCATCATAAACACAGGCAATCTCTCTGGTTAAGGCGATGGACTCATCAACATGACCTAGAGTTAATACAGAGTGTACTATCAACACCTTACTTATTCTATCCCTGTATCTCACTAACACCAACCGTGCTGTCAGCATTTTGCTGTTATCTCACTTTAGTCTGAACAGAGAATATCTAGTTCCCAGACTGATCCCAGATAGGAACATCATATTAAGTCCTTGTAGTAAAAGTAAGCTTCTGAAATGTCAACAGTCTTTTACTCAGGGAGACATTTTTTTTGTTCTAATTTGTTGCTCAATGCAAATTTTGAAAGTTTTATCATCATTAAAATTGTATATTTGTTTGGCCAGTGATGTCTTACATATGCAGTGTGTAGTTTCATGAATACAGAACTAGACACAGCTTGTATGCTCCTGAATTAATTTCTAGAAGGAGATACGTCTGATTCTAGGTAATGCGCTGCTGATAGTATTGACATTAACTAAAGCCATGGGAACAAAACTATTTTATTGAACAAATGAGTCATAGATAAGGCAAAAGCCAATCATTCATCTCGCGATCCCCCAAATGTCCCTATAGTATTCACCACTGTTACATGTTATTCCTGTGTATGCATGGGTCCATGTTAGGTTAACTGGTGTCTGAGGGGGTCTACTTTTCCCAGGATTGAGTGTGAGTGTGCATTGCTGTGCATTGCTTGTCTGCATTTGACTAGTGACGTGTCAAGGATAGCCAGTTGGGATAAGTACCAGCTTGCCAGAATTGGAATAAGAGGATCATAGAAAATGAATGGATTAATGGAGGATTGTACATTGAATAGTTAAGAAGCAGATGGGAAATAAGGGGTGACGGAGGGAAATCTGACACGTAGCAACTGTCTGAATCAAATGCTAGTGAACCAGTAAATGACTGCTTCTCTTGAAAGATTTGATGAATTCAAAGTGACTGAATTTACACTTCACTGCGTGCCTTCTAAAATACAACGTTACCGAAGATTCATTGCAGTTAATTTTATTGCATTCTGATGTTAACAAACAGTTGCAGTCCTAATGCCTTTTTGTTACTGCTTCTCCATAAAAAAGCAAAGTGTACACCTGCACACCCTCCCTTGGAGCATCACTGCAAAGCTGCCTCCTTCCCCTCTAGAATAGTCTCATTATTGGTCTCGTCCAGGAAAAGCCCACGAGATATCATTTTTTTGTACAATGTACACCTTTCAAGGCTTTCAAGCGAATGCAAAGAGCTGCCAAAAGTTACTTCTTGACTTATTCAGCAGCCTTGTGGTTAATTAAGATAATCACAACTGTGGATCAGCTGCTGACATTTCATACCACAGAAACCAAGTCATGAGTCAGAAGGAATCAGATCTCTGCTTGAACATACTCATTTTAGACCAATATTTTTTCCCTTTCGTTGTCAGGCCCAAGGGCTGTAACTGGAGGAATGAGGAGTGCCCAACCAATTGACATGTTTACAACACACACTTTTTTGATCGGAAATACACACACACGGGAACAAGCGTGCATTTATGTACAGATGCATTATAAAGAATGGCAGTGGAGGAGGAGAACAGAGGGGAGGGAGGGAGGGAGGAGACAAAGAGCCCATGGAATGAGGGGGAGAAAAAGAGAGAAAGAAGGGAAGGAGGATGATATCAGGATGAGAACGCTGTGTACAAAGTTCATAGTTCCTACTGAGAAAGTTTAGGAATGCCAAACAAATTTGAAATTAAGCTTCAATTTGGGGAAAATGCAACACCAGTGTGGAAAAACTGGGGCAATGCGTGACCTTGAACAATTTATCTAATGGTTGGAAATACTGGTGCCCAGAGCTTGACTGTTGGTCAAAGCTTGCAGATGAGTGATTCAGCAAGACTTTGTGCCAACTTGCTTTGCCGCCTGAGTACCAGAGTGCCAAAGCAGGGTTTGGCCCTACAATTAACAGGAAGTGCAGGAAATGGCTATCATGGCATGGAAAGTTCCAATCACTTGAAAAATACTGTCAAGAAACATGTTAGTGTCTTTTTAACGAATATTCAAAGAACTGGATCCAAAATAAATACGAAATGCTGTGAAATCTGACTTTTTCCAAATCGGAAAAAAAAAAATCTCAAGGTGCTACTGAAGCCTAACTGACTTTATTTAGCAAAATAAATTAACTAAAATCTGCTGATGGGAATATTTTAAGAACAAATAAAAAATTAACAATTAGTATTGTTATGTTATTTTGAGGCTACTATTAGGGAAGAAAAGATTTTAAAATTTCAAAGAGCTTTTGATTGGTAGTTACAATCAGGGATCCTCTAACAGTCCAGAACCATAAAACATAAGCTTGAAGGATTATCAAAATATATTAAAAGCTGTTAACCTGGGCTCTGTGAGAAAATAATGATAGTAATAAGACACCAATGTTTGTTGAACTAGTTTTCCAGCTCACCATCATAGAACTAGAGTCTTTGAAAATTGTTCCCTCTTTTTAGACCATCAACTCGTTTGATTCTATTTACATTTTCTTGCTACCCTCACTTTTCCTACTTCATTTCATATCTTTACAACCCTGAAGTCCAACACAGAGCCACCTGAAAGTCATAATTTGAAAGTGTGAGCCTATTTTGATGAATGGTTTGTTCTTTTGCCAACAACCTGATAAGGAGTTTTCATCAGGAGGATATGTGTCAGTCATCCACAGAGGATTATAGTCCTCCGTCGCCCCCTCCTAACAACACCTCCACCTCCCATCGTCATCCCATTTTGGGAAGGCTCAGGTGATTCAGGAGATGATTACAGATTACACCACTGACTCACTGCGCAGCTTCCAGGAAATACAACCCATACACACAAAGATTTCAAGAATTTTCACGTTCATGTGTTTCAGGCTGAGATGGACTAAAAAAAACAAACCCACAATAGATTCAGCTGCCTATCTTTACCTCCAAACAATCCTCCAACTCATTTTAACTCCAGGAGACTGTGATGTGTAGCATGAATTATGAAGTTATGACATCACTGTTAACAGTGATGGATTCAAAAGTTAAAAGAGTTTATCCACATGACCTACTTCAAAATGAAACCAAAGGTATGTTGGTCTTTAGGTCATTGTTGTCACTTCACAACGTGGACATTATAGACCGTTAACCCTTTAAAGCCTTCGTTTGCTTTGTTTGCATGAGACAAAGGCTGCAACACAACCTAAAACAAAGGTTATACAGAAGAAAATCAGCAACGTGTTTTTCTTTTACCCCACTTCTTGCCCAGTCAAGGAAAAGGGGACAATGGATGGATGGATGGATGCATTAGGCATTATCAAATCATGCCCAGGTGCTGCACCAAATAAACAGCAAAAATCACAGAACAGGGAGCAGATAACATTTTGACCCACATTTTGACCCACCAGCACAGAGCAGTTAAACTGTTAATGTGTGAGATATTTCAAAGATATTTGTAGATGTTTCTTAAGCAGATACAGCCAGAGTGCTGTGGAGACCAGAGTGCTGATTCATACCTGAAGTTGACGCATTTACGCTGTTAGACGAGTGGAAACGGGAACTGGTGTCAGACAGGAGCTCAAATTAAGCATTTAACTGGTGACATGTTGGAAATTGCAGCTTCTTTTGCATTAGTACCACTAATAAAACGCACATGGTTTTCCCATCAAATCTAACGGTAACAATTTTGCTCACAACTATTTCAAGTTGCGAGCTTGGCCATGTGCTTTAATGGGATGCTTGGCACACTTAGTGCTGCTTCCAGCTGTTGTTTTATTATTTAAAAACTTATGATGATTAATAAAACGGGAGAACTTAGAATCAAACAGTGTCACCTCATAGCCATCGTTCACCCCGGCTTTGAGTCTTAATGTATTGTATGAAATGTGTGAAGATCCAGAAGCTTGTCCAATGTGGGCCATCTTGGCTCTCATTGCAGCAGGATGGGCTCGTTGCATTGTCTGAGGGGAAATACGCACACACTTGAACATGCACACGCATGCACGTGTCTGGGTGTTATCAACTGTAGACAATACAAAGGAACAGGAGGACAAAGACAGGAGAGAGCGTTGTCCTCAGGACAGCCAGCACCGGTTGACACGCAGGGAAAAACACCACACACACTATGTATGAGCTCATATTCAAAGTAATGACATAAGTACAACTCCTTTGCTTCATCCTCGTCTCAATAGAAAGTCTAACTTTTCAGCCTGAATAAAGTTGTATGTTTTACGCACTCTCCACAGTCAATACCAGTTAAACTCCATTGGTCTTGAGAGGCTCAAAAGTTGCTTAGACATGTTACAACCATATTGAGATCACATTGTTTTCATCCTCTGTCCTCTCTTCAAATAGCAACATTAGGTCACATCTAAATCTTCTTTAAGCACCCGACCAGTTGGTGGGGTTGGTGTAATAGGTGCCAAACAAAAGGCCTCTGAGCATGAAATATGAGGCTGTGTGCACAACGCATAGGAAAGGAGATGAGAGGAGAAGGGGGTTGTGCAGCAAAGTTTTGTTCAGTGCTAGAAGGCAGGAGATTTGAAAGGGGGGGGGGGGGGCCCAGCTAAAACAGAAAAAAAACTCCTCCCAAACACAGAGGGGTAGGAGGAGGGGCAGGGTGCTTGCAAATCACTCCCCAGAGAGAGAAAGAGGAGGGCAGGGCTTGTGACTGTGCACGGCTTACTTGTTGTTGCCTGTCTGTAGGAGCATGAGTGTGTAGACTTTCAGCCGGTCAGCCAGTCAGCTATTATTCAAAGTATGAAAGGGAATAACTTTGACAGAAGTGTGTAAGACTAAGAGTTAAAAAAGAAAGGCAACAATTCCATCTTTGGAGAAGAAGCCACATTGGCAGGTAAGAATGAATTTGTGTGGGCTCCTACATAGAGGAGGTGTGTGGGAATGTGTGTATGTAGAGAGCAATGCAAACAGCAGAAACAGTTGCCTCGATGGTGATTTCCTCCTGTGTGTGTATTTCCCATGTGTTTGTTTAGGATTATCTGGAATGAGGAATCAAACTTTTTCTAATTTGTCGTTGATTTTTATTTCACTGCACTGTACGCTCTCTTCATATCCCTTCCCTCCATCCCTGGTTGAATTGTTTACAGCTTGCTATGAGTTACATTTACTCTGGGATTTTTTGAGCAAGAGGTTGCTCTCCCAAGGCACTGGGTGTAACTGTGGTTGTTGAGATTGGTGGTGTTCACTGTGGAAGCCTCAGCAGGGAGTAATTACATGAATTATGACAGATAAGATCAACAGCTTTTTCTTTATCTGATTGCTTCTGTTTGCTGAGTAAATATTTGTGCATCTTGGCCCAAGTGTGTCATTTTTTTCTGCACTGATTCAGTAAAGGATTTATTATTGTTAATTGAAGATAATATCACTTGGCACCTTCCAAACAGGGCTTCACTTTCTAACTTTCTAACCTTTGACAGGTTGAGTGAGTGCTGCTCAAACTGAATCTTTGACCTTTGGGTTATAAGAACACAGCTTAGAACAGCAAGCCACCCATAGTACGATGACAGAGACAGACGTGATTGTGTGTCTGTGCTGTGTCGATGCAGACCAACACTTTTATCACAGACATGTGTCATGTCTAAATTTCCTTGTGGGTTTTAATCAGGGTAAGTGAGAGATCCGCTTCTTGTTCTTGCTGAAAGCTTAGATGTAAACGTTTAATAGTTGTGTTCATTTACAGTTGGTTTAAAGTGTGTGGTGTAGAATTTCTTGGTTTCTTGATGGTGTTAGATGGATGGTGTTCCACCAAGCTACTTGCAGTACATAGCCAGACTGATTCAATAACCCATATACTCACTGTCATTTGCTTGTTTAGCATCAGCTGAAGAGATTAAAACAATGTCAAATAATGTTCCATAGATGAAAAGTTTTAAGCACTTTAGATATTTAACACATAATTTTTTGTTTGATTGCATTTGAATAGAAATAATATAACAATGTAAAATAACATGCATATATTAGCATATTAACTGAATATATGAAGTAGCCCGTTTGTCAAAATTTAAGATTAAACTATGTGTAGTTGTAACTATGGAGATGCAGAAATGGTTGTATACCATTCGATTGAGGGATTTTAGAGGCAGTTTTAAGGTGTAACTAAGTCATGAAAGCTGATTTCCCAGAGTGTACAAGTCTCATGCTATGCTAAGCTCATCCCCTGGATTTAGGTTTACACAACCCACAAACATATGATTAGTAAGAGTCTAATTGCTGTGCAGGAATGCAGGTGAGGCACGTGTCCTTTGCCATGTTAACATCTAAAGTCCACCTTAAAGAATAGAGACTTTTGCAATCCAGATGACTGTAACTGGAAAACTTCAGGGTTACTTGTTCCTCTGACCAAGCAGCAACAAAAACAACCAACACAATAACACAAGTTGGTTTTATCTGATACCACATGTTTTTCTTTGATTTATGTCCTTTCCAATGCCTGACCCTCAACATGAAGAAAGACAACAACATAAGTGCTATTTCATAGCACTCCAGACACAGTGTCCAACATGGGTTACAAAATATGACATTTTACTGTGCAATTTCTTTTACAATTAAGTTTCCCTGCATGTTGGAGCTTGGTTCTAGATGCAGCAGACTCAGTGCGACTTGGCTGCCGTGGGGTTATCAGTGACCGTACACAGACGTCAGATTTTATCTCCTCCTGGGCAGACATACGAAATGAGGGCACACGCTGAGGGCAGTTAGGTGTGAATGTGTGAGAAAGTTAGACAGAGACGAGCTCACAAAGATTTAAACGTACCAAATGGCAGCTACTGCTGAGGGATTTAATAACACCCTCATTAATATGTTATACACACCATTCACACACACATGAGTGCTGGTGGGCCCACGCACAGAAGGGCGCAGCAGGACACCTCTCTGCTTCTCCAACAAAGGCTGGCTCAGCACAGCAGTCATGTGACAGTTGTTCCCATTGTTCACTTCTGGCCAGGGGTGGTTTTGCACTGACGTGCATGTGTATGTATATTTATACGCGTGTGTTTGTGCATGAGTGTGCGTGCCATAGCAGGAAGGCACTTAAAGTCTCGCGGAAATCCCTCATTCTCCAGCAAGTTGATGTTTGTGTTCGTCTTCCCTGTTGTGTGTGTTTGTAAGTAATGACAGACCAGCGTAGCACTGTGTGCAATTTACTTTTGAAAATGTCTTTCCTGTAAACACATATTATTGTGTAGAAAGTGTTTGGAAAAACATCTGTGCTCATTTTGTATTTTGTAAACCAGAGGACTTGTGATGCCTTCTGTCCGAACTGAATTCCTAACGCACAATTGACTCCGGCCCTTTTGATTTAAGAAACTCTTAAAGGCTCCTGCTGGTCCCCCAAACGGCCCAGTTTTTAAACCCACCACTTCAGGAGATTAACAAAAGTGCTTTTTGACTGCTGACGAATGTTTAGTCTGGTCTGGACACACAGAGAGGGACTCTACATCACAATGCAAATCTAAATTCAGTTGCATTTAATAGGAGAGATGTGTATTCAACCATGTGAGAAGAGAGAAAGCTCAACAGATCCTTTGAAAAGGAGCCGAGGTGAGATGGGCACATTTGTTTGATTGTAACTAATCCTTAATAATGAGCCGTTGTCTAAATGTTTACACTGCCATTTCCTCTTCCTGCTAATTTACATTTGTTTCCCACCGAAAGGCTGTGTGTGTCTCTGTGTGTCTGTGTCTTCCCAGCTCAAGGTCTTCCTCATTTTTGCTGACAAACCAAGCCTCACTTCAATGTTGTGTCTATTTCTCATGGTCAAAGAAAACACATCAGATTGGACTGCAGGTGATTTTTCACTGCTGTAAATTTCCACTTAAAGTGCTCAGAAGCCTTATCCTGTCCATAAAACAGTTTCTTCAATCACAACTTTGTCAAACCAAAAACACCATTTTTGGGGTTTTGTAGGCTGTTTCACCCAATTCTCACACAACTTGCATGAGCAAATATTTTGGTCATAGACTTAAACCTGGTGAATTAGTTAATGCAAAATGGGAACAGACGTTTGCTTTTAGACATCTGTAAACAGAAATGGCTCCCTCCCTGTCTCTATTAATAATACATATATTTTCCAGATTGAGGTTAACTAGTTTAAGTGATGGGAAGCAAGCTTTATCAAGTGGAGAAACACGTCATCTTGCTTCCACTTTTATACCTTGGTAAATGGTAATGGCATGTGCGATTAAGTCTTAATATAGATACTAATTGAGCTGGTGGAGGAAATACCAGCACTCATTTGTGTGTATGTGTAATGTAGAAAGAGTTGGCTGGTCGCTGAACAGCTGTAGGGAGGAGAGGGTGAGGCTGTGAAGTGGAAAGAGTCAGTGAGGGAGAAAAGAGTATTATTATAAGAAGTGGAAGGACAAAGGGAAAAAAGAAGACTAATCAAGAGGCAAAACAGAAGCTGACATCATGATGGACAAACAGCAGGAGGTGGAGGATGTCTGTGAAGGGGGACAAGACTAAAAGAGAAAGGAAAAGATGGATGTTGATGCACGAAGTCAAAGGGGGGGAGGAGGGACTGAAATAAGGCAGAAATGTGGATTGAGTGGCTTGAAAGTAGTAGATGGGGAGGATGTAGAGTGGTAAAAATAGCAAACGTTGAAAGGGGCAGAAAGATTCTTCACACTGTCTTGCATTCTGTAGCTCTTAGTATTAATAATTCATTTAAAAGTGCCAATGCAAGTGCAAAGAGTATGTTCTTTTGCCTCAGTGAGAATCAGTCCTTTCTCCATTGCAGGGGTGTGTTTCTGGCAGATGGTCAGGGCCACACACAAATAGACGCACACACAAAACAAATGGACACACACATACACACACACACAGAGTTGAATCCCTAGTGCCTGATAATAGGTGCTCCTCCTGTAGTCATTCTGCCCCTCAGTGGAATCCACTCTCTGACCCTGCATGCCTTAGTAGTTCTTTTATGGTGTCTGCGTTTGTGTGTGTGATAAAACTTCACTTGTTACGCTCAGGAGTGCCGAACCAGCCAGCTGTTCTTTTCTCTAAAGCTGAATTTGCATTTTTATTGACATTCATCATTATAAGCTAGTGACTCAGTGAACCCCCGCTGGGTCTGCTCAGTGTTTTGTTCTATTTAGGGACAGATTTAAAACTGCCCAAGCATCCACATTCACTACATCCAACACATTTGCGTTTTTTAAAATCATTCTTATAAAGACGTTACAGACCGAATAGCATGTCAGAGGGATTGTTTTGGAACATGCATTTTTCATTTTACATTGCACCTTTGAACTACTTTTATGTAAAATTCCTACAGCAGTTTTGATGTATTTAATTAACCTGATTGCTACCACAACTTGATTTCCGTATGTGGATCAATAGACTCTACAGTCTGTCAGTCTACCTCTGCTTTTGTTTCCATCACAATACCATCTGACTCAGTGTGGATCTACTACTTCCCATCTGCATTGTTTATAATGCAAATATCTTCCCAATTCCCTTATACATCATGCTAAATGCGCACAAAATAAAGCATACAATAAGTTGCATATAGTTTGGTGGGTTCAGATTGTCTTTACTTCACTCAGTGTTTACACTATTTGGAAACTGTCCTCCATGTTAAACTGCTTATAAAGGTTTAATTCATTTCACCAGATTTAGAGAAGTAATTGATTTATGTTAACCTATTGATCAGCCATTCAGAACTTTGTCAAACCTTTTTGGCATTTGGTATGTTTTTTAAACAGTAGACCTCTGTCTTTCAAGTGAAGTACCCAAGTTGATCCCTTTGGTTCCACACAGTGCCTCTTCATCTGGGCGTCTTGGCAAGCCTGCTACACAGTACTCTGATGCCTACTTTCCCTGATCACTATCAGGTTGTTTAAATAGAGTCATAATAACAACACGCATACTTGTTGAGGTCAGATTCTTGCAACTGATGAGATTAGGAAATGGGGAGGTTCAGTTGAATGTAGCCTGCCAACATATCAGTCATCTCATGATATTTTAGTTTGTACAGTGTGACTAACCCCTGCATGCAGAATGATTCAGAGCAGATAATAGCGTGCTGACCAGTCATCATCACACTGCAGGGGAATTTGTTAAGAACCTGTCCGGTGTTTTTTAGCCCTGCCAAGCTATCTGTCTTGTTCATCGCTGTGTATTTATATCCGTGATGTCTGTCATCAGACATGAGCTACTGCATTGAAAATATAACCCCCTGTGGAGTCAAACGGGGGGAACATTTTTACACCTTTTCCTTAATAGGTTCCTGAAATCGTTTCAAGTAGAAATATTTGAAGAAATTTCTTATGGAATGATAAAGTGAGGCAGAGTGTTGGACTGCTATTTTCATCTTATATCCACAGAAATCATTCTTAAAATCCTTACATGTTAGGTAAAACATGTTAAGGTAACATTTAAGGTGACTACTTTTATCAATTCTAAGTTTTAAGTTGGTTAATTTTAACGTTGCAGTGTATTGTAAAATATTTCTCAAACAAGATAAAACACTGTCAGACCAATTTTTGGTTTAGCTTCCAAATTTGGCCTTTAGGTACACTAACAGAACTTTTTTTTCCAGCCAGAAAGACTTTATTAGATCATGTTTGATGTATGAATTTTACTTTTTCAAACCATTAAAAGGTTTTTATGCTTAATTAGTGTCAAAGAGATTTGGTGAATCAGTCACATAGCATGTTTAGAGACCAAGTCGTTACAAGTCCTGCAATGACAACTTTTAAGTCCCTTAAGGCAATATGTTGGAATGTATTGGAACTCATGAAACGATGCAATGGGTGGGAGGATATTTGGTAACAAAGGTATTTATTTCGTCTAAGTGAGTGTTACATGTCAGTGTGTGTTTGCGTTTTACATAACTTTTCTTTCCTGTAGAATATTGCATTTCATCCTTCTGCTGTAACATAATTACATAACTCACTTGTTTTTTAATGCATTTTGTACCTCATTAAGATATGTGACATATTTATTCATTTATTTATTCCTCTATGAAACCATGAAGGGTAACTCATCCCATGAGTTACCCATTGCTGGTTCAGGATATGATTCACCTTATCTCTGTTAGACTGCTTATGTCTGTGTGTGCTCTTGCAGAGTTGAGGATGATGGCTGAGGGGCGTTTTGCCAGTCTGCCCAGGTCCCTGCATGCTCATCACACCCTGGGAGGAGGTGTGGCTCACCCTGGAGTCCCGAGCACCTCCATTGGAACCCCTAACACTGGCTCTTGCTCCTCCAGGAGGCTCCAGGCCTCGCTCGCGAGCTCCATGGACCTTCTCAGCTCCAGACCCGGGTGAGTATAATGACCAGTCACCAGGAAGGCGTGGTGTTCAATTAAACCAAACATCTGTATGTCAGGAAACTTTGCAGAGCCCATTTGAAAAAAAAAGAGTTTAAAAACTTTCTTCTTGCTTTCTTTTTTCAGTCTCCCCACAGGGCACGGTAGCAGCTCATCAGAAATTCCGGCTGCATCCTACCAGCCAATCTCAATTCATGGTACTCTGCCTCGACGCAAGAGGGGGGGGGCAAACCTCAACCAAAGGAACTACACTTGGGACCCTAAAGCCAATCACACACAGCCGTCACTTTGTGGAAACACACTACTGCCATCTGGGCACATCAATCAACCCACGACATCCCCGCTGGTCCACAGTGTCCTTGATGAGTTCCACGGTTACAGGTAAACGCGTGTAAGCCACAGAAGACTATAGATCAGAATTCTGTTGGTGGTGTTTTTATCAGTTTGGCCCTGGATTTTGTCCTTGTACATTGTGTGTATGAGGAATCTTCCTATCAGCTTATATTTACTTGGACATATTTTTGGTAAATAAAACGAAATTCCTCTTGCCAAAGAAAAAAGAATAAGGAAAAATTATGGATGATAAATTCAAAAGTGGGCGGGCTGTCGGTTAACTAAATGGTTCAGAATTTTTTTAGCTTGTTTATTTGTGGACAGCAGCTGCTGAGGTCACTGGGTGTAATATTACTTTGCACGTTCACTGATATTGATCCAAGTGTCTGTTTCTGTGAAACAGACCATATATCAGACACTTTTTAGGGGACTCATAAAAGGTAACAGATAGGTTTAAGCTGGTGCCATGTGACTTTGAACATTACATTGCTGCTGCTGAAAGTTAACTGTGCAGAGTCATCATTTTACCCGTCTCTGGCACACAGTTTTAACAATGACCCATCTGTTAGACTGTGTGACTGTTACTTAAGTCTGAAAACTGGCAACATCTGCAGGACAACCTACAGTATACTCATAGATCTCATCTTCAAAGTGGAGGGCGAGAGTTTGGAGTTGAATGGGGATAGGTGAGGTTGTAAACAGAGCCCTGAGGAGGTGTAGCGTTTAGCTCGACTTCAGAGAGAAAACACACACTCACACACACAGAGCTCATCCCTCATCACGTCCTCCCATCTTTCTGTCTCTAGTGTAGTGTTACAACAGACTGTATCTGATATAGCTGGCCTTGTGGGCACATTTGTGTGCATATGTGTGTGTGTCTGCTGGTACATGGTTGTGGCCCCCAGCAGTTGGGTTACCTTTGTAGGTCTGGGTGTGGTACGACTGATCAGAGATTACTGTGAACTCTTTTGTCTGTACCCTCTATCTGTGTGCCTCGCAGGATCCATTTCATATGCTGCTGACATACAGCGGCACGGCATGCCCAGGTCAAATTCAGCCTGTGCAGGTGGTTAGATAATAAGCAGCATCATGCTTTCACCACTTCACTCTGTTTTAGTCATAAAACTCTGACGTTTTTTGCGTGGCTTTGTTGGTTCTCTAGACTTGCATCTGTGAAATGCTAAAATTTGTCAAATTGGGTGTTTACTGCTTAGGAAACTCTCCAAGCATGCAGTTGTTCTATTAAAAGGTATGGGAGTTTTTCTTTAAGATATGCATCCTTAGGCCAGTCGCTCTTGACTTTCCATTGCTTATGCTGCCAGCTGACCTGTGGCCCCTGACCTTATGTTGCACTTGCTGCCGATTGGCCAGTCAGTCTTTCTCTTGACTTCAGCTGGAAGACCACCAGGAGAGGCGGTGGAGGCCGAGGCAAGGGAGGACAGCAGAAAGACAGAGTGGAGAGCAGAGGGGTGCAAACTGAGGGAGTGGAGGGCAGAGATTGAGCGAAACTCGTTTCTTATGCATATTTCTTTTTCTTTTGTCATCACAAAAAGAACCACCCTCAACCCTCTGAGCTTTACGAATATTTGTTTAATATGTTTGGAAGCAGAATTTTTCGTTACCTAATGGCATTTTAACTGTTGAGCAGAAATGTTCATAAGCCACTTTATAGCATCCTGGAAAGCTGAGCAAACACGGATATGTTGCAGTTTTTATTTCCAAAACTTTACAGCAGTACATTTTCAGAATTGCAGTTCAATCCAAGTCTCTTTTTTTATTTCCTGTCAGACAAAAGCATTTTTATCATATAGATATTTTACATGCTAATGGTTACAGTAAGGACTTAAGTGCTGTACAGTGACAGTAAATTTAGACTACTGGTCTGTATGAAGGAAACACACTGACCTCTATGGGCTGCCCTCAGTTTCTACATGTGGCTCTCAGTTATCTAATAGCTTCCACTGCCTTCCCTTGTCCTTCCTTTTCCTCCTGCATACACATACACATGGTTTCCTCCCTGTCTAAAGCCAGTTGTGGTTATGCTGAGTATTGTGTGGTGAAACACAAGGAACAACAGTAGCTAGAAAAAGACTGTGGCGAGCACAGCCTGCTTCTGCCTTTCCTTTCTACTCTTTATTTTTTATCCCGTTAGTCGCTTCAGTTCTTTCTTTCTGTGCCCCTGACTGTGTAACAGATTGGTTTTGTGGTTTTACAAGCAGAAGAATTCAGTGTCTGATGCTGTCTAAGCTACACAAGCAGAAAAAGACAAATTTAGCAATGGTGAGTTTATGTAGTCTGGACTGGCTTGGGCTCACACTCACTTAGTTTAAATTCTTTTAGCTGTCAGCGTCATGAAAGACTCAAAATTAAAGAATGCATTAAGATCCTCCCCCTGATGATTTTTAAACACAGAATTTTGCATCAGCTTTGGTAATGCCACTCAGTTTGAGAGCGTGACCTTTCACTTGCCCGGGTCAGAGGATAAAAAGAGGGAATTTCCATCTGTTACAGCTCATTTAGCCCAGAGGGATTTCAATGGGAGTTGTCTGTCTGTGGTGAATCTCTCTGCACCCTCACTTTTGAAAGCCAAGCCAGAGTTGCGATGGCCAGGTGGTTGATGTGGTGCATACCCCGCCGAGCACTGACCCCAGAGAGGCAACACATTCAGAATAGCAACAATAAACAAAGATATGTCAAACTGAGATCATCTAAAAATTTCTTTACATCTACATGTTCTCTTTCCATCCAAACCAACAATTTGGCCAATATTAAGTACTTACACTATGTCAAACTGATTTGTATGGAGATGACGGCCAAATGTTAAAGAATCCTTAACCTTTGTTTCACCAAAGTGATTTACATAAAACATCTTAGTCTTTGAATCCGTAAGCTCTATTTCTGTCCAAAGAACAGAAATTGAATCATTCTGAATAAATCAACTTCTGCTAACAGTGATTTTATCTACAGCTCTTGTTCATTAAACAATATTCTGTTGTTAATATTTTTCTTTTCTATTAGAAAATGCACTCTATTACATTTTCACAAATTATATTGATGTATAAAATTCAAAGAGAGCTCTGCTGGAAGCCACAATTGTTGCCGCTCTTGATAATCAGCATATTTGCAGCATTACACAAGAGTTCAGTCAGTGATAACTAATGTGCTCTCTGTTCAGAGGACAGCTCAGTAAATTTGTGTTGCCTGTACTGTGGCATATGAAAGGGCGGGTTCATAAGTGAGTAGCCATTTCCCTCTTCTTAGTGCTTAGTTAACTACAGTCTCCAAAAGGCGAGAGAGGTTTGAATATTTTATGTTTTTGCGTAAAATGACTTGTTGTGAATGGAGGCCTCTGTTTAGTTACATAACTAATTCCTGCTCATTATTTGAGGCCATATTAATACCAAGTAGGCTTACAGCTAAATATACTTAGTTGATAAGCATTGGACTGTGCTAATATTCCCGTGGGAACACAATTGTAGGCTTTAGGGATTTAAACTACCAACATTGCTAATGTAACCAGGGATTTGAGGTAATTACCTTTTTCTCTGAGCCCCTGGATATAAGCCCCCTCAAGAGAGAGAAGCTGAGCCACAATAATATCCTAAAATACCAATGTTTAAGACAAAAATGCAGTAGACTGGATGTGAGAGTACACACTTGGGTTTCAAAATAGACAACATGCCAAATACAATGAAAGCTTTTTATCTATTCTGTTCATTTTAGTGAGATTAGAGGAACGAGAGAAATATTTAGAATGCAAAAAAAAGGGACAGTAGGTGAAAGCTCCTTCTTGGTGCGTGTGTGTGTGTGTGTGTGTGCTGTTGCCTCTCTGTGAAATTGTCAGTGGACTCAGAATGGTAGGCGTGTGTCTGTGATGTCTGTCTGTGATGTTATGGTTGGGGGAGGAGAGAGAGTGAGGGAGGAGGTGAACATGTTTACACCGTCTAAAAGAATGAAAGAGTGAGAGACAGACAGAGCAGGACGGAGAAAGGCCAAGACTGAGATTTAAAGTGCTTCAGTTTGAGGCTTGGTTTCACTTGACATTTTTCTCAGAATCTCACTCTTAAAGAGGGACCTGTTGAAAAATGTATTGTATTACCGTTCCGGTCGACTCTCTCCTTTAGCACAGATTTGCCCTCTTGGTCTTGCTTGCAGATGACATGGATGCATTTGGAGCCATGAAATCCATTCAAAGCTTCGAAACATGTCACGCCTCCTCTGAGTGTTGTTTGAGTGTATTCTACTAAGACCTGAGAGGAGCTAAGAAGGCAACATCAGCATCAGTCTGCGACCAGTCAGAACCCTTATCTAAGGCAAAGGGCTCTGCTGTTTACTCGTGGTGGGAAACATAAGGAGGACCCAAAGGACAACATACTGTCCTTCTGTCCCACTGGCCAGATGTGTTCTTTGAACCGGACTTTTTCTATGTCTTTCTTTCCCAGGGACCCTGCAGCCGCCCTGGATGCAGCTGTCGACTATGTCAAGGTAAGAGAAACAGTTGTGGTTTTGCCTTGTTCTTTAAGGTGCACTGAGAGGGCCTTTATAGTAGCAACCACTATAGTTCTATTGGTGGTGGCTGTACGTTTGACCACATTCAGATGGACTTGCATTGTGAGATGAGCCATGTTTCCTAGAACTAGTGTTTCAGGCCCTATTTCTGCCCTCACACAAAACACATTGGACAGTATAGACAAACCAGTCTGCAATAACATGTGGCATGGAAATGCACATAGGCAAACACGACAGAAAAACACACTCTGAAACTACTGGAAGTGTACTTTAAAACACGACAGATGAAACTGAAAGATTTATTAAAAACTACGAAAATTATCTGAACTGAACACATCTACAAATGAATAATTTATTTTCTTTTTCAGGGAAGTTAATCCAATTGCTCTTAGCCTACATGGATAATATACCTTTAAATCATGCAGGCTGACACTTTGCTGCCCCCCTAATGCTGTCTTAAATCATAATAACACACGCACACCACCTGAGTCTCAGTTTTCAGAGAAAGGGAGATCATGACAGGAGAGATCATTCTGTTCAAACAAAATCATCTGGCTGACATATGATATTCTTTACCACCATTATTCCATTCTGTTTTGGTCTGTTTTTGGTGTACTATCTTTGACTCCAAACCTGTATAATTTATACTGTATTGTCAGTGACATCCATAAATTCTCCCCAGGATAAATCACTCTACAGTGCAGCATCAATGTGCTTGTGTATCACTAAAAAATGTAGTAACCGAAGAGGGGATGAGTGAGAACTAAGAAGGCATATGATCTTTCTCTATTATGCATAGTGACTGTTTCACCATAACATCTTTTCAAGCTTGAAAATGAAACTCAAAACATGGAAATCTAAAAGAAAGATAATGAATAGTGCCCAAAAAGTGTTTGGTTACAGATGAGAGCTGAGTTGGTGGTCTTCCTTTTAATTTTTCAATGATCTTGACATTTGTTTAAAAAATACATCAGTGTATAGCCAAAAACAAAACAAATCTGAATTTTACTGCAAATACATACATATATATATCTTGGGTTATTGTTTTGTAGAAATTCTGCCCAATTACACTCCTTATCTCCTCAATGGAATATTCTAAGAAAGTTGTTTTTGTTCTTTTCCCAGTTGACCTTTCTCTATTAACCCATCATTTTCCTCTGCCCCAGGCCATCTCTATCCATCCATCAGGCCATCTCTCCTTCAGTTAGCTCATATGTTTGGATGCTGACACCTCTGCGTGAAAAGCAAACTCAATCCTTCCCACGAGAGCGTGTTGCTAACCTCACGCACACTCAAATCTGCACGCACAAATAGCACACTGTGTGTGTGTTTTCCATCGGTCAACCTGGAGTTGTGAGCTAGTGTCAACAGAGTGTGCTGCTCTTTGTGTAATCGTGTGTATGGAGCATATGGAGCTACTGTATCCCGTGAATTATATAATAAGTGTGAAAATGTAGCTGTCAGCTCTGCTCTGCTCCAACCAGGTGTGTTTGCATTTCCAAAGTGGATGAAAACAGACGTCCGTGTATGTATGCGAGCAAAGACAGCAAGAAAGGTACAGGTGCTCGGTGTCATATCCCTGGATAGGTCAAAAGTGCACTAATGGTGTCAGTGCGGTGAGCCGTGCGTTTCCCTGTGTGATCGGGTCATGCACAGCTCTGGTGGGTGGAAGTGCATGCAAACAGGGAAGGAAGTGTCCGTGGAGAACAATAGCATAAATATATCTGCTAATGAATGGATTAAAAGCTAGTTTGTCCCCTTAAGGAGAGTTTGCCCCTCTCTCCAAAGGCGTTTGATGTTTCAGTCTTTATATCCAGACATAAAAGAAGAATAAGCAAGACACTGAAATGTTTCTTTTACCTGATGGCTGCATTGTAATAAAGATGTCTCACAGCTGTTGGAATTGACTTGGATAGTATGTGGTAGATGTTAAGGCTAGTTGCGTTGTGCAGACTACTGCCAAAGTTAGTATTTTAGTAAATCTGTGACATATTTGTCTTGTTAAAACACAACACAACACATTGAGATCAAATATGCTTCTGTGAGTCATGAGTTTAATCAACATCTCCTTTACTGTCGTCCTAAGTCAGGTGGGAGCATGATGTTCTATAATCTGTCTCATCTTTGATGACTTGGATGATTGATTTTCTGTGGTTCTGAATGAACATAAGTCCTCTTTTACTAAACCTTGTTTCTATTTTTTCCCCACTTGTCCTTTTTCTCTTTCATTCCCACTCTGTGAGCTGAAGGTTGTTCACCCGCATGAGAGAGCTTTGGAAAACAATGATTCTCTCTGTGCTTGTGCGTGTGTCCGTGTATGTGTGTGTGTTTGTATGAGTGTGTGTGTGTTGACTCATGTTGCACTGAGTTAACTCTAATCATTGGAAGACACTTGCTTTGAACACATGCACACAGAAACTAACCGGATAATAATGTCTTCAGTATAAGTACACTGACATTTTAGTTTAAAGCTAAAAATGAATTCTGAAACATTGCTCAACTCCTACACCACATTGAAACACAATGAAAGTTTTAGAGAACTACACAATCTAGTGGACAGTTTGAGTTACTACTAATATGAGACAAAACTGAAGGTGGATCAGCAGCTACTGTATGAATTAAAGTTTTGATCAAGTCAATTGTGTAGTGGAAGAAAATGTTGTATCTTGTTGTGTTTTTCTATTATTGTAAAGTATGCTTTTAGCCACATTGTGTAGACTATATTGTGTTACATCATGTAGTGTAGTGTTATGGACCAGAACATTTTAGAACATTTATTTAATGCCATTTTGACACAAAACCCTAACCAGCCTCCGCTAATAGCTAAGCAAAAAAAATATTGAATAATAATCAGATCAAATTGGGCTTTCACTTGGTCTTCTTGAGTGATAGTATGTGTGGTGATGCCACCACGCTCCCCTAATGCAGAACTTCTAACAGGCAACATGTTTCAGTTTTCAGAGAAAACTGAAAGAATGTTACATATTTTTAAGCCTGCAAATAATGTTATAACATAAGTGTTAAAATGAAAACATTTTTATGTTTATCAGATTTTGGCCTGTGGACCAGGAAAGTGTGCCACACTTTCTGGTGTAAGATTGCCGTTGCCAGCGGTGATGCCTGTAAACAAATTCATGTTCACTTACTGATCTTTGACTTATCATAGCTTCATAAAAATTATTTTCTGAAAGGCAAAATTTCTGCGGGTATCAGTAAATATATACATGCCATTTATATAAACATCATTACATTTCGATTATCATTATTTCATCTCACTTTTAATTCTACTGCTTATCCAACTTTGCTGTTGCTGGTGGAGTTGCATTATGGAAAGATGTTAGCTGCCAGACACAGACCAAAAAAAAGAAAAGAAAATTGCATGGAGAATATGCTGAAGACAGCATTTCTTTTTTTGAAATATAGAAACCATCTAAGTAGTGCTCATGATTCACTTTCAACATAATAATCCCTCAAATCTTTGCTCCTTTTTTAAAATCTAAGCCCTGAAAACTACATTGACCAAAATAATCATATTTTATCCCCTGTTTTGTAAAGTAATTAGCTGAAGTTGCTGAAACAGCTCGGCATTTCAATATGTTTGACAGAAACATCAAACGAATTGAAAATAGAACATATAGAACCTCAAAACGCTGATTTCTGCCCCTCAATGTTTTTCTAAAGCATTCCTGGACCAACAGATATGTGTATTTTAAGGTGGACATTTAGTCTAGCTGGTGATTTGGGGCTGCTGTGGTCAAAAGTGGGGTGTGTGTGTGTGTGTGTGTGTGTGTGAGGGGTGTGGGGGGGGTGCCCCAGAGAATGTTCAACATGTATTTCCTTCCTGGATTCTCAGAGTTCACGCTGTAATTAGTGGCGGAATATTCCTTCAGCTAGTTACTGCCGTGGTGTCACCCTTTTTTTTGTGCATCTGTGTTTTTGTTGACCTGACTCTGGTTATTTGTGAGGGGACAGGATCGTGCCATCACTGTGAGGCCATGGCTGTTTGTCCTTCTCTGTTTGATGTGCACAGCTGTGCCTTTATTTTTGGGCTCCATTACAGTGCGTACTTGTCTGAGCGTGCGTTGGTGGGAAATTGGTAATTCATTCGAATGTGGATGTCATTGCACAGCGATCTTTAAGTTAACTCCAATGGCCAGCGGCATGAATCTGCAAGACACCCGCACACTTTTATCTTGTTTAGAAACCTATGTTGTGTTGCACTTTCAATAAATTCTTTTTATGCATGTTTTTAGCTCCCATGACTCCAACAAAATATGTGCTGTTGTGTGCAATGAGTTTTATCCTGTGATCCTCCATGTGTTTTCAGTGGGAATGGGCCACTCCCTGTATGTCCAAAATTGACTGGCTCAAAGCTTACCACATGGCTCTCTAATGTCCATATATGGCGCTGTGGGTGGGACACTGAGAGAAAGCCTAAGGGAGCTGAGGGTATTCACTCTGCAGGGGACTGTGGAGGGAAGAGGCAGAGATGATAGAGTGATGGAATCAGTACCTGTCTTAAATGGACGTTTGTGTCCTCAGTTTAAAAATCTTTTTCTCAAAGGGATTCTAACTGACATCATTTCATTTATATCAGTCTGAGTACACTGCAATAAGTTGCTGACGTTTCTGTATCTGCAATGGATTTTTTTCTCTTGGAAGAAGAATTTGGGAATAAACTCTTTTTTTTCCCACTGCTAAACTCAGGTTGAGCTTCAGGTTGAGCTCTACGTCTCTTGTCTTTGCGACCAGAGCTTGTCTTCCCGGCTGATTTACTAAAAAGAAGCTTTTACACTTAACTCTTACTGTTCAGAAAGGTTGAAAAGAATGTCAGAGCGATGCAACCTGAAGACCATGACAGCAGCTCTGTGTTGCTTTTATCACAACAACTCTGTCATCAGCGGAAAGGTGAGAGAAACAGTGTGTGTGAGCATAACGGTGAGAGAAACAGTGTGTGTGAGCATGTGTGCACATCTTGTGTGCCACTGAATGCATTTGAGCTCTTTTGCTTTTAGTTTCAGCTCTTGTGCCATCTGTCATGGAAAGTACAGGTGTTTGGATGCATGCCTGTGGGATGCAGCCCTCAATGCCTGAATTTTGTTTAGTTGTGCATCGTTAACAGCACACAGTTTTCCTTTCCACTGTTGTGCTGCAATGGTGCTTTGCAGGACTTCTGTCATGTTTTGTTGCTGTTTAAAACTGAACACAGGAGATGGACTAATCCACAAAAAAGGCATTTAAAACAGACACAGCCGAGTCTTGGTCCGGGATGTGTGTGGGCAGTCTAGAAAGCACATGGCACCACTTCCAGCCTGAGCTAAATCTAATCACACTGAATGGTCCTCCTCTTTCCTCGCTGTGTCTGTGAGTTGAACACTGGGCTTTTATTACTCGGACCAGACGATCTCATAAATGACTGACTGTGTGACCTTCTCACGAGAGTGTGTGCATCTGTGTGAGATATTTGTTGGCTTCATCCATGCTGTCAGACAGATAGGACAGTGTGTAACTGGCAAGAGTGAGACACATATAGTTAAAGATTGAGAAGTATCAGGACCAGGGTGATGGTCCACATGCAGATGATAAATGATGAACTTGTGGTGCTTGGTGTTCTGTATGACGTCAGTGAAATGTATGAATTTCATTAACTTAATTGGATGAAGTGAGCAACGGTGCAGAGGGCTGCAGTGACGTAGTCCCTCCCCGTGTGAATCATCCAGGAGGTCCTCTCCAGTTTTCCCTCTTTTTTTTCTCCTTTTTTTAAAAGTCTAAGTTTTCTATGTGTTGGTTTTCCATGTGTTAGTTACATCTGCTGTTTAGAGGTTATGTGTGCCTGGTTAAAGGAAAACACAGGTTGATGCGAGGTGTAAATCTGTGTCACATGAAAGCCAGCAGCACCCATGCCGTCGTTGTTGCTGTTGATGCTCGTTGGACAAAAAAAAAGATGCCTAAGATTGATATCATAAGCTAAAAGTTAAAAAAGAAAATCAAAACTAAGTTTACTGGATGAAATCTGAAATGTTTAATTGGAGAAAGGACAAGGTTTAGGGCACTTTAAGAAAGAGTCTGTTCCTAAAACAGGATTTGGATTTCTCTTCAGAGGGACACATTTACAGTGATATGACAAAAGTGCCTGCCGTTTAAATCCTTATCCTTTGCTCTTCAATTGGCCGTACAAATTCTTCAACCTTCCTTCCAAACTTCATCTGTACGTGTTTTTTCCCCTTTCAATAAAGCCCAGGGATATATTCCATTGCCCCCAATACCCTCTCCTCCATCTGTCTCTGAGGGAGCCAAATTCTTTTTTTTTCTGATGCTGGAAAATATAAACCCTAATTTCCTTCCTCCACCCTTCCTCTGTGATTTTAGATGAATCTTTCTGTCAATTTCTTTTGTCAGATGTCTTATCTTAAGGTTTAAATAGAAAAAGTGGCAATAACGCATAGAAAGACTGCCTGTACACAACTTGAACAGAAGCCTAAAAACCTTTCATCCATCTCTTCCCTAGTTTTGGGTCAAATTTGTGATTTGTGACAGCTGCCCTAAGGCACAGATGTGATGGTTGTCAGTCTTTTATGTAGATGTTTGTATCTTAAATATACATTTTTATCCAGAACGTGACTTTTAGCTTGGTCTTTGAGTGCATCTGATGTAAAACATTAAGTTGAGGGTCATGAGATCTCCAGCAGAGACAGACTCTTGCTGCAGTGTCTCAGGGAGGGAACCGCTGATGATCCCACTGTACCAATCCCAAAATGGGCGGTAAAGTGCTTCCTGTCCTAATCACAGGAAGATGAGTGCATTTAGTTGGCTGTAAACAGGAAAGGTAGGGGCCTTCTGTTAATGGAGACCAGATGAAGAGATGCAAAAATCAAAACTATCCACATTCATTTAATTTTATCAACCATCCTCAGCTTTGAATAAATCCATCAAGACAGATGGAGATGCATGTTTGTTATTATGAGACTACTACTAGTCTGTTACTACCACTATTAAAGACATGAAATTTAACAACCATTACAAAAACAGATAGATGAAATTATAACATCACTGAAACGTTTTCCTTTGCTGTCTCCGGTATTTTCCAAAGACTTTCATGTTGCAACTTTTAAAAATTTCAAACACATCCCTGGGGTGAATTGGAGAAGTTAGATGGATGCATACTGTGCAGCTGAAGACCATGAGAAACTGAGATGTGACAAAGAGACCCAGAGATAAAAGCAGACAGATGAAGGGAAGAGGAAATCCCCAATGAGTAACAGATCAGAGTTCTATTATAATGATGATTAAACTGGTTTGATGGGTATCTTTCTGTGGCAGTGCACTTAAAACAAATGTAAGAATTATAGATCAGCCTCTGACAATAATAAAATGCACTGGAAACTCGCAACAAATTAGAGTGGAAGGTAAAAATACACACTGAAAAGCCCCCGTTCCTTTCGTACCACTTTTTCCTTGCTCATATTTGAATACATATGGATGCATACAAATCAATGCTTATGATTTAAAAAATCAGCCTGTGAAAGAAAGAGTTTCTTAGAATTATAAAACCAGAACCCAGCACCAAATCATAACAAATAGCACAAACCTTAAAGCCTGAGTTAGAAATGGGATCCGTCAGGATTCTCTTGTGCCAAAGCATACAATCCCTGCAATGATGCTGCAGGGGATTAAATGCGATTTACCTCTCAAACAATGTGGCTACCGGATTACCTTTGTGGTTTTCCACAAATATTTCATTTGTATACTTAAACATGTTTATTGACTAATATTAACCATTTGAATTGGTCATAAACTGATGTTGATATTACAACATAATTAAGACATGTTTTTTGTCATTTTTATAACAGGTTTCTCATAGTAATTTAGAGCACAGAAGATTTGAGATTGATGAAGATTATAATGACATCTATTGTGCGCATATGCATGGGATTATAAGGAATCCAAGTTGTTGTTAAGCAAGCCGCTTATATGGTCGTTCTTTTTTGTTCTCTCTCATTACAGCTACAAAAGAGCGGTTCATCACTGAAACGAAAAGCACACTTTTGAACATGTTTATCAAAAAGAATTGGCAAGACTAAAAATACAATACAGGAAATATAAAAAAAAATCATAGTTTTTATCCCTCTGCACAGATGCCATGGCTTTAGTGTGAGGTACTATTACTTGCTGGCAGCTAAGAGAAATTCAAGTCAGATGAACTGTCAGTTTGTCCCGTATCAAATTAAAGATCTTTGTACACCCCCTTACTTAAAAACATATATTTAAGGTCAATTGTTTCAGCAAAATATATAAACGACATTAAATAAAGTACGTAGAAGCACAGTATTGAGAATACGTATTTTTAAAATGGCAGCACGGTGGTATAGTGGTTAGCACCGTCACCTCACAGCTAGTTTGCTAGTTTGCAGCTAGTCTGTGTGGAGTTTGCATGTTCACCCTGTGTCTGCGTACAGTCCAGTTTGCAAGCTTGTACATAGATGTAGTCTTTGAGGATGACATCATATTGCAGAGTAACTTGTAAAAACTCCAACGTGTCCTTTCCCTCTTATAATACTTCCATTACCTCTACATTACATTAAGTTAATGCCATCTCTCCTTCTTCCCGCCTTCTTGACTTTGTCCTGCCTGTACATGGCCAATCGATGCTCTTGATCCACCTATGTTTCTGTTCAACTCTGCTTATATAATGTGTGACCTTGCTTTTTTACTACTGCTGGCAACATGACTGCAGGTGTAAAGCCATTTAACCGTGACGGCTGTAATAAGTATTACAATCACAGATGGGAGTGTAGTCAACACCAAAGCTCTATACATAAAGATTACTAGTTACCCCAGTCCGCTGAGTTCGGCTTTGGCAGTTCAAATCTTTCCACATCCAGTACAACAGGAAAAACATGCTGCCCAGGGAGTTTGTTTGGGGTGTACCAAACTACTTTTAACCCATGACAATGCAGAGGGATATAACTGATGTAAAGCCAAACAAAAAGTGAAACTAAATACAGGTATAGTGACCTCTAGTTAATTTCCCAGTTCAATTAATGGCTTCTTCATCTCAAATCTTGCAATATTGTGCAAAACATGAAAATCCAAAGTTGTCAGTCACACTTCAAATTAACTAAAAGTTTTGTTTTGCTGTCTCAGGACAGAACGGACACTTCAGTCCCACTGTTCCCAGTGCTTTCTACTGCTGTACCAACACACACAAATACACGATGAGTTATGCTACACCGGTCAATCTACAAACTGGGAGCAAACTAAATCAGTTCAAGTGCATTATGACGCCAAGCCTGTGATGTGTTGTACTGTTGTACTGTCCTGAGTTGAAGTTGTAATCTGATATGTCAATTTCCTGTCATGTATGGAGGCTGAAAGAAGAGGAATCCATTCTAATGACTTTAGTGAGAGAGACGTGGAGGCAAAAATATGAAAAAGAGAGGAAGTATAACCACAGGAAGCCAGGAAAAGGTTGGGAGAGCACTTAAAAACAAATTTCTCGTTTCATGCAGTTACACAAGTCTGATTTGGGTGTGATCTTTAATAATGTTGACCTTTTTTTTTTTTAAATGAACCATTTCCATATTTTATGAAACAGATTTATCAGATTTGTAACACATTTAAGCGACTTACAAAAAGAGGGTATAACATTCAACTATAATGAACATGTTTCAATGCAATTGTGTGTTTTTGTAAAACACACCGGTCGAGCTCTGTTGGCTGGGCACCCGGATCACCAGAAATGCTGGTAAATCACAAGCCTATTTAAAGCTGCTGTGTATTGCCTGTATTCCCGGAAGAATGAAAAAATAGAGGGATTACTTTTGGCTGTGGAGAAATGTGCCTGTGCTTAATAAGCTAAAGTATTACTACTTTCATCAGAGTTGCTTTAATGGGTTTCCCTTTTATGTGCGTCAGGGGAAGGTGTGTGTGGCGGCAGGTCGAGGCAGGTGAGTGGTGTGACGGTGATGACATCACGCTGTGTTTCACAGGGTGAAGCTGAGGGAGGAAGCAAATAAGGGCAAACTCCAAGAGGAGGCTGTGTGTGAGCATGTCGTTTGAAAGTCTGCGAGAGAGGACGGATTGTGTGCGTTGAAAAAGTGAGCTGCTTAATGCCAGGGATAGAAACCACAGCGTGTGTCAATTTGTGTGTCTGCGATGACGTTCATGTTTGTGGAGGACAGGAAAAGCGCGCCATGCAGAGACCCAGCAGCTGTCATGTGAGTGTGGCTTTGGAGTGGGTTAAAGGGCAGAGTTTTTGGACACACACTTTGTAATGTATTGAGAGAAGAATGTGACCACCACAAGTGTAGTAGCAGTAGGCATAGTGAGAATGGTAATGCCCGTGGAAAATAGAAATTAATTGTTTGAATTGGTAATTGTAATCTGCCTTATTTATGATGAATATAGAGCTGTGTGTAAAAAAAAAAAGCAATCTTATTTCCAAGCATTCGTGTGCATGATGAAATCTGAATGAAGGGTGACATTTTAAATGTTGGATTGGTTTTTAAATTGGACTGCAGAGACATCCAGAGACATCACATGAAGTTCAGAAATATATTATAGAGACGGAGAAAAATGCAAACGTGAAGTTTGATCTGTTATACATGAAAAGAACAGAGAGAAAAATGTTCTGTTTAAAGGGATCAAAAGATAGGGAACCCGTTGTGTTACATAATAAGTGGCGACTATGAAGGAGAGCAGCAAAGAGTGATATTTCTGTTCAGACGACTTTTGCCGTGATTTCTGTAGTTTATCTGGACTCATTCTTTTTAAATGTTACTTTTTTGCCATGCATTTGATTTGGTTCATTGGATTTTTTCGCCGTTTTCCTGCTAATCAAAACAAATGGCTGTTCTTCCTTATTGTCTGATTCTTTGAGCTTAACCGTTGGCTCCATTGAACAAGGAGCTGTCACTTCAAGCCCCAGACGGGTGGATTAATGAAAACGTTGCTGTTTTCCGGCTTATGAAGTCAGAGAGCTGATTTCAGTGCCTTTGTCTCATGGCAGTTCTCCAGAGATCAGTTCATCCTGGACTGCTCTTCAGAGAAACTTCGCAGAGAGCTGGAAGAAGAGCTGAAGATGAACTGCGAAGAGCCCAGAAGCCACGCATGGTACCACGGAGCTATTCCCAGACAGGTAAAACACACCCACAGTGATGAATCTGAGTCACGAGTCCCTCCATTTCAGTCAGTTTAAAAACTTGTTGAACCAGATCACCTGTTATTAGACGGCCATATTGCACACTCAGTGATTACAGAGAGATTACAGCTCCTGGTGAGGCCTCAGCAGCATACTGGGGTTGTAACCTTAGGTCAGTGTATAGAAAGCCTTCTATACTCTGTTCTATTACATATATACTGTGTGTGTGTGTGCGTGTGTGTGTGTGAGAAAGAGAGAGAGGGATTGTGTGCTCCCCTTGAAAGCCAGCGCTAAGATGTAATCGTTTTTAATAAGCTGCTTCCTTTGGCTAAACTAAACTACCATTATACACTACACAAACACTTAATTAAAGTCTCGAGTAGTGTATGAGGGGGTTGTGTGTTTGTGTTGGAGAGAAAAGAAAGAGAGGCTGTAAGTGTAGCAGGGCCGAAATGGAAGTGAAAGTTTTTGTGCTCATTTGCTTCCAAACATGGTTTATTTTTTGATTATATGTTTAACTTTTTTGGCCCACATTTGAGCTCAGATTTTTATCGTGCGTTGATCAAACAAACTGCATCTGTTCCTGTTGTTTAAGTGTTAGGAGCAAAGGGCACCTGAGTTTTGTTCTTAGTGTTGTATATTTAATGAATGGATACATATTAGTCAGTTTCCCTGACAAATATAGAGGGAATTCTAACTGAATAAATGGCAACAGATTGAGGTTTCTTAATACCTTAAGTAGAGGCTGCAGACCAGCCGCTGTATAGTTGGTTGAAATGGTGGTGACACAGACCACCATTATTTGATTTAATGAAATGTTTGAACTGTAAACAGCCACTACGTACTGTGTGTGTGTTCACATATAGCCTTCTGTCTGGTTCCAGGTTGCAGAAAACCTAGTGCAGCGTGATGGAGATTTCCTAATACGTGATTCCCTTTCCAGCCCTGGAAGTTTTGTCCTGACGTGCCAATGGCGAAACACTGCTCAGCACTTTAAAATATACAAGAAGGTACAAAAACCTACTAAAGGGATATAAATGTAATAGATCTTGGCCCAGTGTTTTATTTTTTATACAACTGATGGCTTATTTATTGCAACTACAGGGACAAAAATAGATTTGTTGTTTGTTAATTCTCCTTCAGGTGGTGATGCTGAATGAGGCTTACTCCAGGGTTGAGTACAGGCTGGAAAGGGAAGGATTCGACAGCATCCCTGCCCTCATTCGATATTATGTTGGCAACAGAAAACCTGTCTCACAGGTAAAGATGAGGATTTTGTGAAGTTTTTGTCTTACCTCTAATTGCTTATATCTGAAAAGGTTTGTTTTTTAAGTAGCTTTCCTCTTTTAAATACATAAAATATAAAAAAAACGGGTTGTATTTATCAGACTTTCAGGTACAGTAAACCTGTTTCAACAAAAGGATAAAGACCACGTTTTGACAAATCTTTTTCCAAACAATCTGTTCGACTCTATGGAAGTTCCTGTAACCTGCTTTCTCCTCTCCTACCTGCCTTGTGAAGGTGGCCGGGGCCATCATCTTCCAGCCCATCAACAGGGCGCTGCCGCTGCGCTGTTTGGAGGAAAAGTACAGACTGTCCAGCAGCCCCAGAGAGGCAGAGCTCATGGCCCAGGAGAGCCGCAGCCAGAAGCGTCTCAGCCTCAACATTACCAACGGACACACTCATGACAGCTCACACACTGTGCACGACGGTACACACTGCCAGGAGAATGGTACCATCCAAAGCTGCCAGCTAAGGTTTGTACGATGGAAGTTACCGCAAACACAATGTCAAACAGCCAAATTCCTCAGTGGTCTTAACAATGTGTGTCTGTTTTTTCTATGCCTCTAATAGCTGAACGTAGGTGTTTTTTTATATATTGTTTTTTAACAATATATTTAATAATGTGACACTTTCACATCATGAAAGCCCGTTTCTCCATCTAAACCTTTAACTCAGAGCCCTGACTTGTTCATATCCACGACTCTGGCTAAAGGTGGAATATACAACATGTTCCGTGTGTATCATAAGTCCTCTTTAGATTAGGTAGAAAGTGTATTAGCTTTATTCTGACTCAAACAAAAGAGTGTAAGTTCACACAGCATTTCAGGCTAACGTGTGGGGGCCACATCTGTGGACCACACATAATGTTAGCAAACAGCTGTGAGTTTTCTCATCACCCAGAGTAAGCAGAGAAAGTGAAGATGTTGTCATGATGGCATCATGGTTACATAACCAAAATGTAAAATTAGTTAGAATTTTTTCCCAGAATGGGAAAAAGACTAAGTTGTGATATGGGGTCATTATTTCGTTCTGTCTTGTCTATTTTATGTGGAATGTGAATATACTTTACCTCCTAAATGAACATTTGTTCATGTTTCATTCAGGTTGAAGGATCGATGCGGTAGTCAACCAGCAAGTCTTAATCAGGTCCAGGAGCGACGACGGCCACTGAAGGCGCACCAATCAGAGAGCTTCCTGCCTCTCGGTAGGTAACGTTTAGGAGGGTCTGACTTGAGTTTTTCCACAAAAGTTCAAGCTGCCATTATCTGCTTTAAGTATGCACAAGCTTCCATTTTCTTTATTGTAGTTTCTATTACATAGATGATAATCTTTAAAAAACTATACAAAAGTTCATTTGTATCCATTTTTTTATGTTTTTTTCAAATCTCCTTTCTTTTTATTGACTTTAACCATAAAACTCCTTATTCTTTATGTTGTCTCCTTTGTCCTCCTTTTTTATTTAGGATCCAAACCACAACCCCAGCAGTTAGCTGACCCACTCCTCGCGAGCCCAAAACCCAAGTCTCCAGTATTTCGGACAGGCAGTGAACCGGTGCTGAGTCCCACTGTCCCACGCAAGTCAGAACCTCTCGCAGGTAAATAAATACACATATTGGATATAAAGGAAATTAAAAACGTATCCCACACTTGCTAAATTTACTTTTGTCTAAGCTTCCATAGATCTTTGAACTTAATGCCATTATTTACATTTGCCTGGGTTTAAACACAGCCTAAATAAACAAATAAAAAGAGCAAAATTATTAAGAAATAAAATAGTTACTGGTGGTTTAATGGAAGTACCTTGTATTTACCCAAGAGGTCCTTTTCACTTCAGCCCTAAAACAAACATCACCGCTGCTAATACCATTTACAACTTAAAGAAAGCAGCTTTGTTCCAGATGCCTGAATTGCTGCACACTTTTCTGATTTGTTGGGCTCTCATATAAATGAATGAGTTGCGGAAAAAAGCTATTTAGTTTGATTAAGAGTCTAAAAATAAAGCTGGTATCCCCACCAGGGGCCAATAAAAGCTTCTGTTGGAGTTGTAAAAATAATTACTCACTGTCTGTGCTACATGTGCGTATATGAGTTCTCTCCATAATTGTTTCTCCTTTCATTGTGCCTTATCGAACTGGGAATAAAAGTGACCCTGCATAGCATTGACTGACACCAACTGTGTCAGATACCACCAGCAAGTCGGCATCAACAAAATCCCATCCAACTCATCTCAGAAAAAACAAACAAACATGTGAACCACGTGTGTGTAATCTGTGTGTTTGCCCTCAGGCCAGGCAATCCGGGGCTCTGACAGCCAGCTCTGTCCAAAACCACCTCCTAAACCCAGTAAAGTGCCACTGGCTCGACTGCCTCGCTCCCCGGCTCTTCAGCCCCTGGTGCCTCCCTCCATCTCCTCCAGCTCCGCCAGCCTGGCTCCGTCTCCTCTGAGCTCCTCAAGTTCTGAAACTGCTGCTTCATCCTGGAGAAGTGGAGGTAACAATTTAGATTTTTCTTCAAATTCCCTTCATCATATCCTTCTTCACTTCACCCACAAATTCAAATCAAATTCAATTGAAATATCTTTTAATATTTAATGTTTTAATATTTTTTATATCTATAAGGTTGCCCCAAAACTCCAGAACCATTTCTACTTTACATAAAATAAAATGTGTATGTCCCACAGCTACAAAAGGTCCCCCTGTTCCTCCGGTGAAGCCCCAGAAGTTCCAACGGCCGTACATCCCTGCAGATTTTCACACCTCACCCGCTTCCATGGTTTCACCCGCTGAAGCTGTTCCGCATCCTGATCTAGAGGTGACGACGGGTCAGACCGAGCAGCCCCTGATGAGTCCTGTGGATCCGAGGTCCAGCAGCGGCTGGGAGCGACCGAGCTCACAGAGCTCCACAACTGACCACAACCCCGAGCTTTTCCCAACACCTTGCAGCTATGTGGAGAGGCTGAAGAGCGAAGGAGAGAGAGGGTGGGACGGGAAGGAGAAAGATGGAGACCACAGGGGACTGGACAGAAGCTCCTACCACCACGCCATCGCGGCTCTGGAAAACACCAGCGATGAGGAGGACAGCGGAGGGAGGGAGGAGGAGGAGCAGGAGGGAAAGAGAGAAAAACTGTGGCACGCCTTTCAGCGGCCGGTTGTAGAGACGGAATCGATGTTCAGGCCGGCAGAGTTTGGATCCCGACTCCTGCCGCCAGAAAACAAACCGCTGGAGATGGTTGTTCTGAAGAGAGCGAAGGAGCTGCTGCTCAGCCACGATCACCGGAGCATAGCCAGACACCTGCTGATGGCCGACTGCCAGGTACACTCACACAGGCCTGCATCACATGAGACATAAACTATCGGTGATTTACCTTAAAGGGCCATTATTGTGGTTTTGTGGCAGCATCTGTCATTGACTGATTAAAAAATTGATCTGTACCTAAATGCATACGTGCATTAAGTTGCTTTAGTTGTTACATACGGTTTGTTTAGAAAAGAATGTGGAATTCAAGGCTGCTAAAACCGAACAGAAATGGATTTGACTTTGTTGTCTCCTTACAAAAAATGCTCTGTAAAATCTGATTTGAACCATTTTCTTCCATGTTTATTATTTGGTTAACTTTAATTCTGCCAATTAAAAGAATAGTTTTTTTTTAGCTTCACATCTGTTGATTTGAAAAATGTAGTAAAAAGTAAAAAAAAGTATAAATGTTTAAGACAATTTAGATTCAATCTCTTGAGAAGCATCATGCAGGTAATGAATGTCACGTATGAACTGAGCCTTGTTTTCAGGCTGCACGTCCCCTGCATACTTTCTGTAGCACAAAGCATTAGGAAGTGCTTCTTACATGTTTATTTCCTTAAATGAACCGCATATTGCAGACAATAAAAGCTGAGGCTGCAGAGAAACAACCAAAGACAGCTATGGGTCATTGACTCACAACCGGAGACTGCTTTATGATTCCCTTGTAAAATTTCCCTCTCCAGGTTGCGAGGATCCTCGGAGTGAGTCCAGAACTGAAAGGTCAGATGGGCGTTCCCTCTGGTCTGGAGCTGGTGACCCTGCCGCACGGCCGGCAGCTCAGGCTGGACCTGATGGAAAGGTACACATTGCACGCACTCATAAACATGTGGTTATGCAGGTATCAGTGTAATAGAAGTTACCAGTTTTTCTATAACAAGTGGAGTTAAGAACTAAAAGGTGGTGGGGAAATACGCCTGTATGAGTCAGCGCATCGAGATTTTCCCCACAACTCATCTTATGATCTTTAAAGTGGAACATTTGCCTTAACACAAATGACCATTCTGCATCAGAAAGCAGGGGCAAACAGTGCTATTAGGTGGTGTTGATAACTCACTGATATGCCTCCTTCTGCCTCCCAGGCACCACACTATGGCGATAGGCGTTGCCGTGGATATTCTGGGATGCACAGGTAGCGTGGAGGAGCGGGCGTCCACCCTCAATCGCATTATCCTTGTGGCCATGGAGCTGAAGGACACTGTGGGTGACCTGTATGCTTTCACAGCTCTGATGAAAGCTCTAGACCTGCCACAGGTAGTAACACACAGACATGTCGCCAGTGAACATGACACAAAGCCAAAAAGTCAATAACAGAAATTAGCAATTGAACATTTTACTGTAGTTGTTTTCTTTGTTTTTAATCCTTTAATTCTTTTCTGTCGAAACTTTCAATTAAATAGTTTTTATTTCATAAATGTTTTTATTAGATGTCCTTGCCTTTGTAAAGCACTTTGAGTTGTGTAGGAAAAGCACTTTTCAAATAAAAGAGCTTTGCCTTGCCTTTTCTTTTTTTTTAATCTATAAGCTTCCAAAGTGTGTACTTTTGCATTTTTTCCCTTTAATGTACAAACACTGAACATATTTTTTCTGTTAATATTTAAAACAATCTGCATTCATTCTCCAGATCAGCCGCTTGGAAGAAACGTGGACGGCCCTACGAAGGAGCTTCACACAAACTGCCATCAACTACGAGAAAATACTCAAACCTTTTTACAAGAACCTGTATGAGGGCACAGGTAACAGAAACACCTTCCTCTGCTGGATGAGACGTGCCTCTGCCGGCATATCTTATCCTGTAAAATGTCAAATATCCACAGTCCTCTTCAGAATAACCTGAAGAAAAATTAGAAAAATTCCAAATTTGTCTTTTACATAGACTTGTATCAGTTACAAACTTCAGTTTCCTTAATATTAAGTCCGTTTGCCTTGCAGCTTCCTCTCCCTCGGTGGTCTGCGTGCCTCTTCTGCTGCCCCTCCTGACCCTGATGGAGCGCTCCTCAGTTACAGCTGAGGGGGCGGAGCTCTGGGAGACCTGTGACCAGGGCTGTGACATCATGCTGCGCCACCTGGAGGCTGCGCGCGACGTTGCTCACAACACACACAGCTACACGGCCCACGCACAGAAGGCCCTGCATGGTAAGATCATACCATAAAGCAAAGACAGTGAGATGCTTTCCTTTTTGGTCTGCTAGCATCTTGAAAGTCTGCATGTTTTTCGTCCTCAGGGTTTCAGTGTGATGAAGAACTGCTCGAGGTGTTTAAGACGGACTTCCAATTGCGGCTGCTGTGGGGAAGCCGTGGGGCCACCGTCAACCAATCGGATCGATACAACAAATTCAACCTCATCCTCACTGCTTTGTCAAGGAAGCTGGAGCCCCCACCGAAAACACAAACTTTAATCTGATTTAAGCAAAGCAAATGCCGTGATGTGGCATACTTTGGACACGGAGCAGTCACATCAGGTGGGCCAGGAAACATGTTCTCACCAGCAAGGCACAGGTCAGACCACTCACTATGAAAGTATTCTTGGTTAGTGGGACACTGTCCCAGCAAAGAAGACTGCAGTCTGAGTCATAACCTGGACAAACATCTGTTCAAAGGGGAGCGTGACTCTTCCTTTATTTCATATATCCCATATTACCTATTTACAACACAAAACTGCAATCTTTTCAGTGTACATTTGTTTGTACTTCAAACGTGAACTGAAGGAAAATTATGTTTAACTCTTATAAGGAGGGAAAATGAGTAAACGGGTCAGTCAGGCTCTCAGATGATGCTGTCGGTACAAAAATGACAGAATAGACAATCATAACGACTTAACTGGAAAAGGGATTAACCGTTTCACTGTCCAGGAAAACAATGCACACCCAGAAATAAACAACAAAAGGCCCATCAGCACTATCAGGTTTCACACAGCATGGATCCAGTTAGCGGTCAGACAGGAACTCACTCAGAAAAAACAAAACATTTTGACCGTGAGCATTTAACTTATCGTGTAGTTTCACAAGAGAAACTTCTTTCGGTGCACCAGAGGGAGCTCTACCTCTTTCACCGCCAATAAACCATCAGGACCACACATGTTAATGTCAGTGTTAGGCAGCTTCACCTGGATAAAGGCTTCTTCATGATCCACAGAGGCACGGGTGGATGTGATAATGCGTGTTCTTAGGTTTTATTCATACGATGTTCATCGTTTTCTGTACATTATAATACGTTTGCCCATTTGGTACTCATAAAAAAATCTCAATTCAAAATGAATAATTACTGAAGCCGCTTCTACTCTTTAAATGAAGAGTGGTTCCAGAGAACATGACAGACACAGACATTTACAACGGTTAGTATACCCTAATTTATTATTCTTTTTTTAAATACAGGGGGCCATAAAGAAAATAGAAAATATAAAGCAGGGAGAAATGCAGCTGCTAAGTGCTGATGTTAATTCAATCATTTAATAAATGACTGACATGTCAGCTGCATGCAACATTGTGACCTTTGATCAAATGCAAGGCTTAACAAGTAAAAGCTGTCGATTACTTTATACTTGAAGACAGTTGTAGGATTTTTGCCTCAAATCACAATATTACTAATCTGTTAGTCATTTTCTATTCACTGACAGGAAACTTTCAAGAACAAGAACATTCATGTTGACAAGCGAGACTAAAGCTGTACATAACTTGAAGCATGTTAATAATAGGCTGTACATACTTTGTGTAGAAGACTGTAAAAAAAGATTAATTTTAATGTTTATATTATTATGAACTTCTGATATAAGATTTAATAAATACACTCTATGACCTGAGGTGTGGGTTTGTGATTCCTGTTAATACTGGAAGTTTAGATAGAAGTCTGTGCCTGAATGCAATGTCACCACCTTCCCACATTCAAAGAAACAATACACCTTCTTTTTTATTGTTGCTTCTTTTATTAGAACAATTCTTTGCCAGAAGGACAAACAAAAAAAAAAGTTTGTTCACAAAGTGTCCGACAACATTCAAAGCAAAAAGATGTGCACAACGATATGGAGAGAAGTACTGCCATAGATTACAACATGGTAAAAACAGATTACATGTCAAGATCCCGCTAACACGCTTTGTCCTTACTGCTGTCTTTCATTTCCACTTTCAAAAATAGTTAAAACAGCTGAGGGGTCTTTACACCGGTACAAAGTTTCCACAGGACATGCGATTGGAGGGTGAAAAGAAAAGAGGAATGTGGAGAGGAACATGTCTGGTCTGAAGCCTCTCAGTGGCTATCAGTACACATCTGTCTGTACAAGAACTTACTGCTGACCTATAATTCGGGACCTTTGCTGTTTAGGTACAGTGGTGACTAAAATACATAGTGTTACATGATATATTATTGATTTTTTTAAAAACACTGAACAAAACTGCTGAATCACAGATCATGTATTTCCAGGGACAGTAAAAACCCAAGTAGGACAATGTAGAAGGGGAAAGTACAAGGAGCAAATCATTCCTCAGAAATGTTGTGTTGCGTTCTTGTGAATAAAACAAGCCCTGCACACTGAAACGTTGTCCTTCATCAGATCTGCAGAACAAACTGCATATTAAATTGACCACACTAAGCAGGACCTCGGTCTTCTCACATATGAGTTTCTGCCTTTTTACTATCTCACATAAAAGTGGAAATCTTTGGGTATTTGTTCTGCAAAACCAGCAACTGGAAGACGTCAACCTCTCATGACATTTTACCATTTATAGACAAAGAGTCAATATATAAGGCAATAATTAGGGACTATTTGTGGCTGTACTGACAGCAAGAGGACAGAAAGAGATTTAAGGTTATGACCTTTGGCATTGGGCCAGAATAAAATAGATATCTTATTATTAAAATAAAAAAGCTGGGCAATCAACATTAATTTGTTTTCAGATATAAATAAAACAAGGAGAGATGGATTTATATGGTTGTTAAAAAGGTCAAACAAAAAATAAAAAGATACACAAAACGAAATACGGACCGCAGAAACTGATGGGTTTTGTAATTCGCACCATTTAAAAGTTAAAATACTTCAGTGCTGATGGAACCTGAAGCTATAAAAAGCTATTTTTGGAATCTTTCCCTCATTCCACCTGTACATTTAAGAATCCATAAGGTTTAGCTTTCTATAAAGGCAACGGGGAACAAGGTATTTTGATTTTTTCTTTTTTTAACCAAAAGTGAAAACATCAAGTCCTGGAATGTGAATATTAGAAAAAGAAAAAAAGCCCATCTTCTTTTCAATGTGACTGATATCACAGATGGAAAATGACGTTAACAGGTACAAGTTCAAGTAACAACATCTACAGCATCATTTTGAACAATTCACAGCTTCATCCAAAGACCCCAGTATTTCTATACCAAACAAGTCAAACGTTTGGATTTTTGGACCGGTCATCCAGAAATTCTGGATCCAGGAATTCTATATGACTGGTCGGAACTTCTGAATGGAATTGCATATGGACAGACACAGTGAGAAGTTTATTGATGAACGGTTTCAAAGAATCTAGAAAAAGCATGAAAAGAAATGAATCATTGTTCATAAAGAGTTACAAAAAGAGTATAAAACCATCTGGAAAAGGAAGTAGAGTTGCTTTTGTTTAGTGGTCATTCATAAAGTTCACACGTCTTAGCAGAAGACACTCGTTCCATTCATTCACTTTTTCATTTAATCCAGATCAAATGCTGTTGTACATCAGGACAAAGTGCATCGGTTCAATCCAAACCTTGTTGTCTCTCGTGAAGAGGGCCAGTCAAACAAACCTTGAAACAATCACCATCGAAACACATTCAACATGAAATAACATGTTAATTTGTACAAATCATCCTATGGTTAAAAACTAACGCCACGCATGTCCCACACGTGTGCACACATTTAGATGAAAAGCCAAATCTGGCAGGTCTTTTGGCCTGTTTGGCTTTCCATACCCGATGCTGCAACATGCGTGCGTGTCGTCACATTCACAAATACAACTGATTACAAAGAATAAACTTTGCGTGGAGACGCAGCAACAGTCCCCCGAGGAAGTGAGAGGGGAGCCCAGCAGGCTGATGGGAGATGGAGTCAGGCTAGAGAGCAAAAATCCCTCCACAGTGAAAATAACATACATTTTTAAGGCAGAGTCTGGAGCTCCTCTTTGAAGTCTGGTGATTTCAAGAGTTGGTTTGGTGGGGGAAGTCTGCCATCTGCTAGTCGAAGGGTGGAATCGCACCCAGCAATAAAAAGGATAGAAATAAGAGAGGAAGAAGAGGAAGAGAGGTCCTGTATTCACCTGAGTGTCCTGCTAACCACCTAACAGGCTCTGACGGACACAAACAAATCATGCTTCAATAGAGCAGGACAATGAGTCATTCGACATACAACACAGCTGGAATCACGCACACGCACGGATGGAACACACGATGGTGTCTGGGAGACGTTAAAACATGCGACCGGATGAGCGTGAGGGCAGGCATGAGGAGCAGAGTGGCTCAGGCAGGCAGACATCACCAACAGAGCACAGATGATGACAGGAGAGTTGGAGCAGAGGAACACTGATGGGGTTAGTGGCAGCAAACATGGTGGAGGTTTATTATGAGTTTCACTTTGCTGCTCATTTCTCATCAGGAGTTTCCCTAAGTCTGTGGATGGAGTTAAAGTGATGGTAAAAACATCAGGCTTTAATGGCCACCCTCCCACTAATAGTGAGTGAAAGTTAAATACAACTTATCTGAGGAGAGCATCCTCTGCTATGCCTCTTAAAATATTGAACATTGAAGCTGAAAGTGGTATTGGATTAGCCCCTGAACAAGCCAATACAAGAATCCTTCGAGACAGAAGGGGAAAATCTGCATTTCTATTTTTGTAAAGGACTGTGGGCGACTCCCTCTTTTATCTGGGCAGCTCATGGACAGAAAACAGTGTTTACTTTCTGCACAGCAGGTTTTGTAATCAAACTCCCATTTTTAAACTAAAATGATAAACTGAGGCACCACTCATATCAACACACTGACAGAAATCACTGATAACACAAAAGTTAAAAGGACGCAGGAGCTGGGCTCCTGGCCCGACTGGTAGTGATTGACACATTCAATTTTAGTCTTTAGACTTCTTTTTTTTTTTTTTTACATTTGGCTGAAAAATATAAATGTGTCCAATAGTTCTACAATGATTTTTAGATGCCCAGTTCAAGATGGTCAACACTTAAAACGGACCGGATGTGGTGGAGGCTGCTCCCCACTAAAAGCCCATAGCAGAGGAAGCAGGCCAACAGTGGTTGTAGTGCACCTGACAAACGTTACAGCTGCAGTTATCTCCTCCATGTCTGAAGGTTTTCTTTAGTTGCTGTTGCTTTTAATGCAAATTAGCTCCAGTGAGCACAAATCCTACTTAAGTATATTAATTATATTATTGCCTGTTCATTGTTTTGGGATTTTTCATTCCATCATCTTCCAAAGATGCTGATCATGGTTATGTGAGCATGCAGGCATGCAGAACTCCCGCTGAGGCACGATTAATCTTTCTACCTCTCTCCCCCTCTCTTCTTTCTGTGTCTTAATCACCCCCACCACCAATAATCAGCAATCAGCGTGAGCCCTCCACCAGCCAATCAAATCGCCCGGCCACTCTGCAGCCCTCAGGAACCTGCAGTCACATAGAGGAGAGAGCGAGTTACTCACACACACACACTTATAACGAAGCTAAAACGGAGGGTTTTTTCAATTTATGCTCAACAGATTTTCTGAATGGAAGTAAAAGAAAGGTCCTAGATGCGTGTAACTTTCATTGTTAGTTGTATTCCCAATTTATGGGTCTAAAATTAGATGTTGGAAACTAAACAAATGCAGTGTTTCTCCTATTCACAGCATGAATCACACAATCTGTTTGGCAGAGCTCAGCAGGCTGTAAAATTATTTTCCAGACAAATGTGATAGAAACTGTTCCAGGAAATACATGGCAGTAACCTTTAAATACAGCAGCTTTCAGCCACAGAGAGGCTGTATGTAAAGCATGATGCTGCACACAGGAACCTAACAGCTGGTACAGCTACTTGACAATAACCTGCACCACAGAACTTTTATTATTAGGATGCCAACAGCAACCATCACTCAGAAGGCTACTAAATCATTGACTCAACAAATGAACATGTCAGCGTCACAGATCCTTCAGAACTTCTACTGACTTACAAAAACAAATCTAAGCCAGCAATGTGCACAGATCTCTTGGTTTTCTTGTCTTCTTGAATGACAACCACAAGGACTGAGTGTTACAAAACTGCAATGTTGGTGATAACAGAAGGTTATTACTGCATGACTACTGTATAATCCAGTGACGATGGCACAGATAAAACCATTTTAAAAATTAAAAGTGCCTGTACACATAAACACACACAGATTACTTAAGTGAGAAAAATATATATTTCACTTCAAATTATGTCAACAAAAAGAAAACAAGCTTAAAATCAGTGTTTGATCATCTATTAGAAAAAGACATTCAAACAACTTATAGACTCAACAAAAATATTTTGTTTCTAATATATTAACATTAAACAATGTTGAATGCTTGATCGATAAGCCGTGACATGAGGCTCAAACAGCAGTGGAGATGTTTCACACACAGAAGTGCCTCGTGTGCAGAAATACACAAACAGGTTTCTCCTATTTGTCTCAGGCACTCACCTCTGAAACATCAGTCCCACAAAATGTATTGTTACAGTGTTAGCGTGAACAAGAGACAGAGGGGGAAAGAGATGGGATGGAAACCAGAGTAGGGAACTGGGTGACAGATGTCCATGCAGATGCTGGAGTTGCGTGTCTCTCATGTTGTGGTGTTACACTGAGGGAGCGCAGACAGGGGGACATGACAGACAGAGGACAGTGTAGCTTTATATGTAGGTGACGGCACCTTTGCTGTTTTTCTCCATAGTAATTTCTACATAGGAGGTGGGAACGTAGCCTTCCTCCCCGCCCTGTTTTCTTGCCCGCGTCCAGCCATCCCCTTTATCTTCTTCGATGATGTACAAAACCTAAAGTTGACAAAATAGGAGAATTTCCAGTCAGTGCAGTTTAGGAGTTGCACTAACGTGTCAAATACTGAATAAGCACAAGTCACAACCAAAGATGTTAGAAAACAAATACAAATAGAACTTTTTTTCTAACATGACAGACGGCACTGATTTTGATTACTTTCTGTTTTTTAAAATTAAAATTAAAATAACAGCAATGTATTCTATTGTCTTCATCAGCTTAATGTTTCAGATTTGAAGCTTTTTTAATAACAAATTAAACAAATATGTAGGATACTATCATTAAAGTAAGAATGAAAATGGTTGAAAAATTAGCATTACCTCATCTTCTGCCATCACGAGTGTCCCCTCGTTCTTACCTAAGAGTCAAAGAAGAGCAGCATCAGAGTCTGTTTGAGCCTTAAACTAATGCAGATATATACACATGAACTATGTCCACAGAAAGTCTGCTTTGTCAGCAAAACACTAATTCCAATGCTGGCTTCATCCAATTCGGGATTGTGGAAAACAGAAATTCATCCCAGGTGTCATAACACAGGAGGTCAGTCCATCACATTACTTTGTGTTTTTAGAGGCATTACCATCAAACGAGTACAGCGCCTTGCAGTGCCCGATGACGGGTAACGGGTCATCATCGTCAAATTCATCGTCAAACTCGTGGGGGTCTGGGTTTGGTTGTCCAGGCTGTGCAGGCCTGGGCCGGTGGAGAGGCGTGTGGTGCTCCTGACTCGTGTCGTCGGTGTAACTGCCCTCAGGACTGATGGGGGGAAATGTTTTTGTCATCTACAATCACTCGTAAGACATAAAACACTTTTTCTCAGTCAGGCCAATCCAAGGCTTTCTTGATACAGCCCATCGTTTCTTTACATCAGACTTACAAATATTTGTAAAGGAACCCTTTACTTTAAGTTATCAGATGTCTGTTGGATTTTAAAGTAGCTTTAACTTGTCACTTTGAATACAGCTATGTTACACTTTATAGACTTGTTATGATCACTTGGACTTAAGGAAATTATTGTTGAATGCACCTTTTTTTGTTATTAACGGCACTCTGAAAAGAAAATCTTTAAACATCTATTAGATTTTTTTCAGGTTGAAGGAAAGATCTTACCTCTCTCTGCCCTGAGGAGTGTGGTGGTGGTTGTCTGCGCTGTGTCTTCTGTCTCCTCTAGAGCTCTGCTTTCCCTCCACTTCAGACAACCATGTCTGTCAACAGAGACAGATACCTAACTTTTTGAAAGTATTTTGATGACAAGACTAGTATCCATCTAACATCGAAAAAAGGGCAGGTAGCACCTGCCTCACACCCAGTGTAAGCACCTCATTTTTGTGGATTTCAGAGCGCAGCTTCTCCATGTTACAAATGGTCTCTGATATTTTCGGCTGCAGGCTGTTGGGGTCACCCATCTGAGGATTCTTCTCATACACATCCTTCATCTTGTTCAGTGCATCTCTGATCGAAGGAAACAACAGATAAGGCATCAGAGTTGAGAAACTATGGCAGACTTAAAACTCCTGGACTTTGGCAGATGTGTGGGAGTTGTCTCAACCTCTGATCCATCTCTTTCTGGAGCTCCTTGTTGAGTTCGTCAATCCTCTGCTGAAGCCTTTTCCTCCTCTGCTCAGGAGGCAAGTGGCTGAAGTCCTCCAGAGAAGGTGCCTGGCGAAGAGAAAGAGCATGACGACGAGAAAAAGATCCCTGAAAGAATTCTGCACCGAGTATTAAAAGATTGTGACTTTGTTTCTTCTCTATTCTCAGTTCAGGTGTTAAAACAGTAATATTACCACTGACTAAGGAACCCAGGTGCAGCAGCTCCATCTGGATTGTGCCTCTGTTGATTTTTCAGAGCAGCATCTCAAACCAGCGTGTAGCTGTCATTTTAACTTTTACTGAAGATAAAGATTAAGAATTGGATGTTGTTGACTGAATCCCTTTTTGGGGGGTTTTGATGCATCCTTTAAACCTAATTTGTTAAAATGCCCTTGTTTAACTATACACCTGTTCCTCTAATACTGGGGAACTTCATTCATGAGGATGCAAAACATCGACATGTATAGTAGGTTTGGCAGACAGTAGGGAAACTAGCAGCAGAGGAGAGGCAGCTTCACTATCTCTACAGGCTTTGTGCTGTGTTGGACAGTTACAAACTCCTACATGGTGAGAACTCATGCTCTGTTAGCTACACTGCTGAGTCTTCTCAGGACTACTCTACACACTCACACAGACTCACTTACCATCTTCACTGACCACTGAGCCGTAATGTATTTACCATTTCAGTAAAAGAGAAGAGAACATGGTGCTGATTAGTCATCAGTTTAGTCACAATGTCTGTTAGTGTTTGTGCTCCCAACAAGCTTTTGTTCACATTAATAAAAGCACAAGGTTTCACCACTTGCACAAAATTAATTCTGAAAACCATTTGAGATATTTGTGTGTCTGTATATTCTAAAATGTATTAGACTAAAAGTGCTCCTCAAGATGTGATAAAAACTCGCAATGACAGAAAGTGTTTCTCCATTTGCATCTCGACTTTGTTATTGGGCACATAAATAAGCTGAATGAGCAATGTAGTTCATTCTTCTGCCACTGTTTACAGATAATAGTTCTTAATAAATACAGTAGGAAGCAAAAGGTTGAAAAAAAGAGGTAAACAAGATGCAGTACTCAGGGGCTGTAATGTGAATTACTCTACTATAACTATCATTTATGATAATTAGACACTGATCAACCGCCAACACTCCTTATGAAATTCACTTCTTCACCCGTTTGGATCACTTCTCAAAAACATTGATCATTTTCTAAAGCCAATGAAAGCTTTAGCTTGCCACGGCCACTAGGTGTTATTCACAACGCCGTGTTAGACTGTCTGAAACTGTTTTCACAACCAAAAGATGCTGTTAGAGCACAAACGCACACAACACTGCCGACTTGGGTCTGACATCATCCATAGCGCACACGGGATGATGCCATTATTTCCCCTTTACACACACAGGCACACACACATATCACTGCAACCAGAATGCTGAAAAAAGCCACTCCAAATATGTCACAGACCAGCACACCATTAATCACAAGGGATCCTCGGTCTGGTAAATGGAACAAACGTCTAAAAAAAGAGAATCACACAAGAGAGAAAAAAAGAAATGGGAAAATGTTCAAAACTTGTAATAGAAAAGGAGGAAACCAAGAGAAACCATACTGCAAGGTATCTGCACGCTTTAATCAACGAAGCCCAATGAAAACAATGTCCTGTTTACGGCTTCTAAATGATAAGACATTTGACAGTTGGAGGTGTTGCAGACATCTTGCAGAAATGACAGTCAAACCAAGTCAACCTTCAACCAGCAGAGTTCTACTCCCTGCCTCACCCCTCTCCTTAGGCCCCTCAAATTTTGGGGGATTCTGGGTACTGTAGCCTTTATCTCAGACAGATAGTGGCTCACAAGGTCAGAGCTGATGCGTGGTGTGCGGAAAAGGTGTGAGGTGGACCACTGTCGAGAGGAGAGAGAAGGTGGGGGAGGGGGCAAGGAGGAGGGGGGCTGACAAGAAGTAGGAAGAGAGGACAAATCCAGTCAGGATGACAAATTTCTCTCCTTTGTGTATTGTTAGGTGTGAAGGGGGTTATTTGGTCACGGTAACATCTAGTAAGTGAAAAAGGCACTTCAACAATGTGAAACCGAGGCACTCTAGGTTTTCTAAGCTTGTTCTCTAGCACACATGAACTCTTATAATATCCAAAATTCAAATAAAAATAAAATCTCAAAGAATAAATCTTTCTGAACAAATACATCCTACAATAACATTTTTCAATTCAAGGGAATCGATCCACTCAATCATTTTAAATGTTTGGATATTCAGTGATTCCCCGGGGATCGGAGCAGAGAGCAAACAGTTTTTGTACATCAGTTTTCCTTTATCTACTCTTAACTACTTTGATACGCCTTAAGATTCTACTAAACATTTTTATGAAGACTGAGCACAGACCGTTAAAGAAAGTAAATGCTGCGTGGAGACAAAAACCCACCCATTTATCACAAATTCCTGATACTGTAAGGAAGCTGATTCAATCTACATGAACCAACAGCAGAGGGTTAATGAATGGCCAACACTGCCTTTGTGGAGGGGGCCAAGGTCCAAGGAGTGTGTCAGAGGAGGGATTTGAGAGTGTGCTGACAAATGCTGGAAAGGTAAAAAAGAAAAGAAAAAAAGCTAGAACTCAACACAAACTGAGAATTCGACCTGGGAGAAGAAAACAATGTGAGGTGGCTGAAGAAGAGGATGAATAAAAATGTCATTAGGTCAGGATGGTCTCAGTAAGTTTATTCCACACCCTCTGATTTTTGCATGTCTGAGGACAAATAAAAGTGAATATTACTGTGTGGAAACTGCTGTGGGTGCAGGGGGTGAACACCAGTTCAACAGACTTCCCTCTCTCATGTACCTTTGGTTTCTTTCCAAAAAGCCAAAGCTTGTTCTTGGTTCTGCTCATGGGGTGCTTCGGATCGGACCTCGAACCAACGCCTCCGTCTCTGTCTCTGTCACCTTTGGGTGTACTGCTGATGGTACCGTCTGAACCCGTTCGGCTTAAATTCTGACTGAAGTCTTCAAAGGGGAAGTCGCCCGGGGGTTCAAAGCCAGACTTAAATGACTCCACGACTATGGACGAATCCTGGGAAGAAGGGAGGATTAACACAGAAGATCAGCTGACTCAGAGGAGGCATAAATACTGATCTGAGCCATCGCCAGACATTTCCTTTTGCCAGCTCATTTCGCAAGAAGTGAGAGACATAAGTGATTTTGTTTTTCTTCTTTTCCCCACATACCCTTCTCTCATCTACAGCCTTGGCAGCAGAAACCATTCCTTCTAGACATTTAGAGACGATGGGGATGACTCTCCGCTCTGCTTCAGCAAAGCTTCGATACGTCTCTCCAAGCTTTACTGTTCGGCGTTGGTCCATGTCCTGCAGATTCTGTACACAGAGCAGAGGAAGTGGAATTAGCACCGTGAAACAAATGCACTCATATGAGCCTATTTTCTGGGTAAATTATCTATCATCTAGCAGCTCTTTTACCGGCCAGAACTGATCCCCTTTCAGTGGACTAACGGAGGTGTGGTGACAATGGAGACAAGCTGTACAATTAAACATTTAGTAGGGCACTTACTCACAGAACAACACTTTCTCTAAACTTGATACTAGTTCAAGGGAAGATTGAAGTTGAATAATTATAATGATATGATGGCATGTAAAACATTCAAACAGCCACAGCTTGATGAAGAATGCTCATTTTCGTTAAGATGACTATGGCTGTAGAAGCAGAATGTCTCAGGAGGATATGCAAATCAGTTTTTGTGCCCCGATGTGGATCGTTTTAGCTTTTGCAGCTTTTGCAATTGTGTTAAAAGATTGTATCCTGAGTCTATATATAAACTGAAGATAATTCAATTTTTCTAAAACAAAACATGCCAGAAAAAAAGTATGTTAAGGTCTCCGAAAATACTGTAAATGTGTGAGTTGTGACGTGAGGCAGGAATGGATTTTTCATTTACTTTGAAGATGTGTGGTATGGCATTGTTGAAATGTTTCCACTGCTCTGCGTTGAAGTTCTGAAGCTGGGCGGCGTACTCGTTCTTACTTTCATCAGCCATGTGAGTGCGCAGGTAGAACTGAGCTTTGGCCTGGTGGAAAATGGCATCCAGACAAACAAAAAAAGGAGAAAAAGTTACAAATCTTGTAATGCTGAAAATGGAAACAAAGGTGGCTACAACAAATGAAGTCTATTTTCCACATTCAGGGACAGTCCTGTTTTAGTGAGAATCAGATGGATGATGCAACACAAACTGAAAGTTACAATAATTACATTATGTATCAGAACCACACACACTAACAAGTGAGATGGAGTTTTTTCAACGAAACCATCAAAAATCGAATGTCAAAAAAAGGAGAATAGTGTTGCTATGACTTCACTTGTCTTTCTTTAGTTTTCTGCCAGCTAAAAAGTGAAGTCACCATCCAGGTATTTTTACTTTCAGTGAAAAAAATGAGAAGCCGAGGACTGTTTTAGATGATTTAACCATGTTCATATGCTGCAGGTGGGATCTTCCTACCTTCTCAACTTCTGATTTGGTGGCATTGATGTCGTTATCTAACCGTTCATAGGTCACCTGGGACTTCTCTGCTTCCCTGCACTCCCTCTCAAACTTCTTTTTGCTCTGAAAGGGAAATTGGGGCACAACTTTAAGCATTCAGAGAGACGACTGTGTGACCATATTACACACCCACTCCATTCTTGTATCAGTAAATAAGGCAAAGGAAATATGTGAATGAGAGGGGGATGAATCAGACACAGAGATAGTTTACTTCCTGCCAGGCCATCTGGGTTACATTAGCAGTGAATAACTCAGACATTACAGTCTAGTTACTAGGTAGTGACTCTTAAAGCCATGGAGCCCACACAGTGAAACACTCCTCATCACATGTGCTGGACTGACTCTGTGCCAGAAACTGTGACCACGCTGTATTATCAATAATTGTAACATTTTAGTTAAAATAGTATTGTAGCGTCCTATTATATAATGAGTGACTGTTATTACATGAATGTAAATAAATGACCTCAGAAGGGAACAAAAGGAATCCTTCTGGAGCCAGACGGAAGGTTGTGAAAGGCTGAAAATGGCACATGGGCCTTGCCTTCCTTTGGGAGGGGTTGCACAGAAGTCTGCATGTGTGTGTGTGAGTGTTTCCTGATATTGGCTCCTGTCCTGGATCCCTGTGGACTGATAATCTTGCCAGGAAGAAGAAAAGGACAATGCTGTCCTTTAAGATTAAGAAACAAACAACTTTTTTTTATAGTTCTGGAAAAGCTAAAAGGTTCTTCTTAAAACTGTCTCTGACATCCAACATGAACATATTAGAAATATAAAACTGACAGCGTGGTGGCGGGAAATGGAAAAGCAGATGCAGTTTGTCCTTTGGTTACCTCCTCAAGCAAACAAGGGAGAGATGAACACAGCTGGCTGTTCCTCACAGAGGATATTTACACTTAACTCTTACAGTTGTCCCCCCCTCCCCCCTTCCTCCTCTTCATCATCCATTGCTCCTCACTTACATTGTCCATCTGTTTCCAGCTATGATCCAAATGCTGCTGAGCCTTCCTGCCCTCCTGTAGATGCTGCCCATGTTCAAAAAGACACAACGCACATTTACAAAGAAACAAAATATAACACAAATACATGTGCACATGAAAGTACTGGGCTCTGTGTCACAGTTACAAAAGCAACAACGATTCACTGGAGAGAGATTTCGCTGTGCAAGAGTGTAGCTTCTAAGCAGGAGAGAGGCCTCGACACACTCAGGTGTTTTATATCAGTTTTAAAAATGGAAACAACCTATCCAACTTGTATGTCCTTCCTTCTTTTTCCGGTTTGAAGTTCCCTTTTTCGCAAAAAGATGTAGACTGACTTGGAGTCACCGAGATGAATCTGTTTGTGACAGCAGTGTTTTTTTACGTGACTCCGAAAAGATTCAAATAAATACGCACGGAATACAGACTGAACTGAATACGGCTTCCACAGATCCACCAGGTTAAGCCTTTTTTACACTGAATCAATTCGGCATCCACATATAATGTGGACGACTGTTGACATCTGACAGTGTGTGTTTAGAAAAGGTGAGTCAGGGTAATTTAGGTCATATTTATCTCACATTACATAATATGAATATATCGCATACAGGATATGAAAAAATACCCTCCAAATAAAGAGCAAAAGAGTAAAAGAATTTGCGGACTCTATTGGATTGCTATGTGTTGCCGAAACAGTAGAGGGCGCTGTTTTTCCAAAACATGTGACATCAGATTTCACCAGATGGTAGAAGACATGAAAGACAGATGGTTATCATCACTTCCAGCATATTTATCATCTCCAGTGAAGCCGAGCAGAAAACAGACACACATGAGGTGACATAGAGAATATAAACATCAATATCAGGAAACAGTTTTTTTTTAGTTTTTTTTAACACTACACGTGCTGGTGTGACTCAGTGACAAAAAACCGTGGAGTTAAAGCATACTCACAAATTTCCTCTCCGCTTTGAGGTCTTGGCCGTACCTCAACAGCTCCCCATAAACCTTGTGAGCCATCTCCTCCGCCACCACCTCCCTCTGACCAGCATAGTCATTCAGCTCATTCAGTATGGAGTAGAATGACAGACACGATGTGAACCTGCATGTAATTAACACACGATTAACCCTGCACACAACTGGCTTTGTCTCTGCGCCACCACAAATCAACAGATGTCACATCTGACTTCACGGCAGCCAAAAGCTTATAACCAACAGCTTATATGTTTATCTATTAAATCGTTTTTAGATGTTTTACAGTAAATGTTTCCTCTGCTCAAACTATGGACCCTGAGAAAACAGTACTTTCATGCAAAAAAGGTTATTCGTCATATCATACAGTACATAATACACATAATATACCAACTTTGTTACTTTAGTTGGACTGGAAAGAGGGCTTTAATAAATGCTGCACTGCGTCCCAAACGTTTGTTTTTCAGGTCAGATCTTCCGTAAGACACTGAGCTCATCATCAGTGACACAACTGTGTTGTATTTGGAAATGATTACCACTTCCAATCATCTGTAAGTATGCAATATGCCAAACATATGTCCTTTTTAATCCGGTCCTTTTTAATCTGATTTCCTTTGAAACACTTTACAAGAGCCCTCTTATCACATGACCCATTAAACTGCAGAATGTGAAAAGCCACATCAAACTCCAAGACTGGATCCTTAGAATGAAAAGCCATGCATAATTTATTGTCCGGTATATGGTATACAGGCGCGTGAGGGCAAACAAAAGAGGGAAAAGAAGAAGTTACTCACCTCGGCTCCTCATCTTTAGAGCGTTTCGGACAGTATTTTTTCACTAAGTTCCTGACAGACAAAACAGAGAAAGAAAGATTTAGAGGCTCAAGATATTTCAAGCCTGGCAGAAAAAATGGTGTTCAAACACCACACACACACACACAAACTTGCACATACTGCAAAATAAAACCTGAGCAAATTATTAAAAATTAATGAAAGATTCAAACTTCAAAGCCTCTGCTTGCCTTTCCCCCAGGCTCCAAATGAGCAGGGTGCAATAATGCAGTGAATGAAAGGATTAATTCACTGTACGACAGGGGAATATGTGTGTGTGTGTGTGTGTGTGTGTGTGTGTGTGTGTGGGCGGGAACATCTCTCTATCAGTCTACCATGAAGCGTTGCCTCAACATGTATTGCCTGGAACATACACAGTGTCACATCAACAGCTGATTGGGAGATTTCCTCCCTTGAAAGCAACAACCGAAGGGACAAGACTGCTTTTTAATGAGGTTTAATGCCAACACTTCCAAGGTTTACCCTGGAAAGTGTTCATGCCCTCAAATCTGCAGCTCAACTTGGATGTTGGAAATTAAGTAGAATCCTTCCTTAAGTCACTGATATCAGACGTCCCACATCATCCTGACAGAGGCCACACGCGTCTAGAAATATTTTCTCTTCTGAATGTGGGGGGGGGGTTTATAGATTGTACTGGATATTTCATTATTCCAACATTTTGCAGCATCGAGGATCCCCTTATCTAACACCTAATCGGCTCATTCTCTGACCAGCATGAGACCAGATTTTCTTAACCTGCTACTTTGCTTCATGATTGTGTGTTTTGCTACTATTGTTTTAAAGCAGATTGCAAATTTGAGATCTACATCTAAGATAAAAGGTTGAATCATTTGAAAATGAGGTCAAACTTTGGCATTCTCTGCATTAAAGGAGCTAACTGGGAATGCAAAGTGAAGACAGAGACACAAGACAGACACAAAGGAACTTTCAAACTCAATGTTTCTCTGTTTGTGTGAATGTACCGTAGCTGTTTGGCATAGTTTTGCTCTATTTCCAGCCTCTCCTTGACAAACTTTGCGTAGCGCTCAAGAAAGTCAATCCCCCACTGAGTGTGTTTGTCCAGATTATCAAACTGGTCCTGAGGATGGAAACAAAGGACAGGAAGAGAGGGCAGGGGAGGGAACATGGAAAAATGTTAGACAATAATTAAGGTGAAATCATTCTAATCAAGTAATCAATTATGTGAAATTCAGATTCATTCTGCAACAATATCATGAAAAATGTGATGAATTACAACTCCAATAAACTGGTGACAACATTTGTTACAATCCGGCTTCCTGGATGATATTACTGTACCTCTCTGCTTGTGATCAGATGTCCCTTTTGGGTCAATATGCAAACAAACACATATCTTATATCAAACACAATGAGCCATGGTGAGCACTGAACAGTACAGGACCTGGAAGATTCTACTCTAGACCTATTTTTGAGAACTCTTCGAGGCTGTGTTGATAAGAGAAATGTAATGTTCAGGGTCTGTAAAGTGTTGAGCTGCTGCTGCAATTCCAGCAGCTGAGAACATGGTTGAAAACACCTTAGCATTAGTCTGTTAATGAGTCAATAGGGGGCGGGGTCCACTCAACACGGTAACAACAGCTCTGCATTTACAACTTCCTAACATACAAACACACAAGGATTACAGCCGCTGATTTGTTGTCTGACGTCATTCTTAAATGACAAACAACCCACACCCTTTTCCTTCCTGCAATGTTCTCTCTGTTGTCATCTCTGTGGTCAGGGTTAGGGTGTTTTGGACAACCGCAAGCACACATGGATGACAATGGGACGAATTAGCTCCCCTACCCCAAAACACTTCTGACACAGAGGTGTTTCACTCAGTGGAATGTCAGGTTTAACTATTGCCTTTCCATGCTCTGATATGTTGCTTTTGGCTGTTATGGGAGGGAGATTGCAGCAGATAAAGCTTTAAATGTGCATGTCTATGCTTCTATGAGAACAGGACATCCAGGCATATTTACAACAAGTGTCCGACAGCAGCAACAAAAATGGAAACCTACAGAAACACTGCTGACTAAAACGTCTCCCTCAGAGGTTCTGAAGCTGACTGATACAACGCTCTGACCACAAGAAGATAAAAAAGCACTGCAGTGTACAGTTTTAGAAAATATACCTGGATTTAACGGTTAAAACCCTACAACAAATGGCTTAGAAACCACACAGTCCAAAAGATTTGCATTATTTTCGTGCTCAAAATCATCCAGTGACTGTGGAGCCTTGTTGTTCTGACAGAAACCACCCCCGTTCAAGATAAAAATAACTCAGTGCAGGACAGAGACAACGTCTGTTTTTATTAGTAGCGGCCCTTCCAACTGAGGGGGCAAAATATCCCAGCAAAATGATTCTAACAGCAGAGACTCCACCCTGATGTCGCATTCACGTGTGTGTTGGATTTGTGTGGGTGCTTGGCTCTCTGGCTGCACCTCAGCCGTGGTCACACCTGGAAGCACAAACAGCCTTATCTGTGGTGGTCACTGCTGGTCATTAGAGGGCCCAGCGAGGTGGAAATACAGGAGGAGGAGGTGCTGCTCATGTGTTTCTTAAACCAAAATTCATCCAGCCTGTTGTGAGATCCTGCTGACACCATCAGGGGCTCCTTTTGCTGTCCCAACACAGGCAAAAAATAATCTATGTGAAGTCTGTATATAAAAAAATCATTCAGTTTATTGCCTTTTGTCCAATTAGTGATTTAACTGCGTTAAGTTAAAGGATGACGACGCCAGTCTGAATGCTTTGGGCTTCGAGCTTCCTTTTTTTCAGCGAGTCACCAAAAACCACCGCAAGGACTTTAGAAAAAATGTGACAATGTGAGGCCGATGACGGAGCTTTTCCAATAAAAAAACACAGACTAACTAATGTTTCTCAAACCACCTTCAATATTAGTAATTGGACAATATGGCGAATTATAATGAGTTTTACTAACCTTTTATACAATCAAGAAAATACTGTGTACTGTATTATCAATAAATCAGCCAATTGATCAATGCAGTCCAGATGTAAAAATAACACAATCTTAGCCCTCTGTCCAGGGGGAAATCCCCCCTACTGACCCAGTTCTTTGGAACAATACAGTTTTTGGATTAAATGAAAGATTAAATGTTACTCACTGCATCAGAGATGAATCCTTCAAACTAATTGCAGAATTTGTTTACTTAAAATAAACGAGAATTTCAGTTTGGTGACCATCAATCTAATACTAAATGTTTGTTTAAACATAGCCCAGTATGGTTTAAGCTCGAACCTCTGGGTCATATTTCTGCTGTGAACCACAAGAGAGAATCTAACTGACTCAAAAACAGAAAACAAGCGAGCGTCTGCTGCCAAAAGCAGTCATCCGATGAAGAAAACGCTGACTAATTGCGGCCACTGAGACAAACAAAAAGAACCCCGGCATCTTCAAACAGGGGCACAACGAAACATGGAGCCTCCATCGGTCTCGATTCGACCCACTGACGGATAGAAATACCAAGCCTGCCAAATCTCAACTCATCTTTATTCACATTCAACTCTATAAATGCAATGGAGATGCAGAAGAAGATGATGACGGGTTTATTTTTAATCCTGTCTGTCTTTGTGCCTGTTGGCCCATACGCAGCCAGCCTGGCCTGCATTCATGCTTATCCCGCCTCCTTTCTGCAGCGTGCCTGTCTGTGATTGCATCAGCCTCTTTGACAGAGTCTATGAATAAGTAATAAGAGTATGAGCTCATTCTTTAGTTTGTAGCCGGCTGAGGACAGACTGCCTCACTGGGGAAATTACAACATCTTTGGGTTGGCTGAAGGGTAGCTGCCTAAATCTGGGAGCTACAATTTGTCTGCTCGGTAACCCGCGCTGCAGCAGACCTGCGCTACACCCACACTCTCACTAATCTGAGAATGGGTTCATTTTCCTGAAGCGTTCCACTCTCCTCATCCAGGATAAAACCAGCAGGGCCAACAGCAAAAAGTCTTGTGTTCCAACAGAACCGGGCAGGCCTACAGAGGATCTCCCAAATGCTTCAACTCCGACAGACGATTTACTTTTAGTCCTAAATTTAGCTAATCACTCTGATTTAGCAGCTGGTTCAGATAACCGCATAAGCACTTTTGTATGAAAAGAAAAAGGATTCCAATGAATAACAATTTCTCATTTCCAAATTGTTACGACATGATTCCCTGGGAAAGTGTTGATATTTAAGAGGGCAAACCAAAACACAATTGGCCTCAGATGGTTGCTGATAGCAACTAAAGGTGTTTGAGCAGCCATGTAATCAGCAGCACATCCTGTAACATAACATAATAACAGGAAGGAATGTTTTCACAAACAGCAGTAAGCCGAATACATTTCAGTACATTTACAAAGTGGCGTTTAAAAGAAAAAGTAGTACTGACTGTAACTCGTAAACCAAAAAATATTTAGCTTGGATCAAACATAATTAACCACTTGATGAAAAAGATTCAAATTAAGTCAAAAGCAAAACCAATCTAGTTTTATCTGCCCACTGATGCGGTTTGCCTCATATGACCTTCACAAAAAATGTCATTTCTGTTTAAAAATGATCAAGACCTTAATGGCCACATTCTGTTAACCAGCAATTACAGAGTTATAAACATAAAACCCAAAGTAATTGTCCTTTAAAGCGGATTTGAAGGAAAGAAACATGAGGAAACAGGCAAAAATACCAGTTTAAAAGTTACTTTAAACATCATTGAAACGTTTTTCAACCCTCAGTGTAAGATAAGGCTTTCTAGTCAAATGTAATTACTTAAATGTGGCATTTTGACCATTTCCCCTCCTGATTCAAACCCAAAAATGGGCCTTAGACCCAATTCCTGAGTTTTCCCTCAAACAAAGCCCCTGCCCTGCTTTAAGGAGGTTGATCGAATATATTAAACATTTAGCTCCCAGAACAGGAGGGAGAAGATGCCTTGTGTGCAGATTCCATCATAGAAAGACAGCCTTCTGTACATGCAGATAACCAATCAGACGGCTAGACGGCCCCTCCAAAGCCAACTGGGGAGCCAGGCTGCCTGTGAGCATTCCACAGGGGAAAGCGAGGTTAATAAACACGGAAAACGCTGCTAAGACAATAGACTAATTACACGCTGTGGCATTCAATAACAGAGCGCGCGCACACAAACCCAGACTTACACACTGGTGCACACATGGCAGACAATGAGTGGAAAATGTCAAGTTGTCTGAAGCGCTGGCATCACTGTACAGACCCCCAGGCTCTGTCTGCACTTTGTGTGGGTTTACCGTGTCTATCCGTTTCATCTTTCCCAACAACAACCCCCCGCCTCAAAAACAAAAGTGACTATTCCAAGAATGTAGTGGTGGACACAGGATTTGTGTGTTTTTGTGTGCAGGATGCTGCAGAGGGAGTGTGAGGGAGGCAAACACTGGAGGGAGATTTTTTTAGAGGGGAGGTAGGAAAAACAAGAGAAGGCTAGGGGTAGAAAATTAAACGGTAGAGCAGGCCTTTGTCTTTCACCGCTCATTCTTCATCCAACCAATCAAAATGCACTAAACTCTGACACTTGGTGGATACAGAGACAGCAGCGTGACATCAGTTATTGCACACAGCCTATATACCTGTACACATACACGTATGTTGTTTTTTACTTGCAGAGAACATCTGAGTTCGAGCTGACTTGGATTTCTTTCGTCATGGCAGTTGTTTTGAAACGTCTCCAACTGCCATCTAAGGGCAAAGCAGGACAGGCGCTGGCATGTGGAGGCCTTCAGCCGCTCGCTGTTCTGCTGGCGAGTCGCACAAGCAGCTGCTTGAATGGTTTCTCAGACTCTGTGCTGCAGGTTTTGCAGCGTTTTGTGAGCAGAGACTCCCCAGAGAGCGCTCAACAGAGAGCCATCATTCCCAATAAGCTTGAATCTGTATTTAGAGGTCTGAGCTACATAACCGCTCCGCGGCGCTTCACCTTCCATGACCTGCCTTCCTGCAGTTTCCTGCATCACAGCCACATCAGCTCACGTTTTTCTGTGGCTGCTGGCTAAAATGTTCCCTGCGAAATGGCAGTTTCTGTTAGTTTTATTGATGAAACTGGCACGTGCCGTGCTCTTTCTGATATTTGCAGCTCTAGTCTTTATTAAGTGAAAAGGGTAATGTTT